AAAAAAAAATTTTATAACATACGTGTAGTACAAGCGTCTATTAATTATATAAAAAAAAAAAAAATGAAAAAATATTGATTAGATTTCAAGTTATTTCATTTGTCAGAACTCCGTGGGACACAAACTGAAAATTAGTAGATAGCTTAATTACAATAAAAATTCCAAATTTATCAGACTTTATTGGAGTCTTGTAATAACATTTTTACAATAAATGTTTTCCCTTCTATCATAATTTGATAGTTAACTAAGTTTTTTACAAATAAATTGCCTTAATAACATTGTTATCTAATATTCCAAAATAATAATTGGATTCTAAATCTATTATTAGAGTGATTAATTTATATTTTAGAATGAATGTTTTGAATTCAGATCCTTGGATTGAATTTGGTAAAGGGCCATTTATATGTTGGTTCTTTATAATTATGTCACTGTTATTATTAATAATAATATGATTTGTGTTTGAAATACAATTTATTTCAAATTCTTTAAACCGCTTAATAATTTGTTCTAATGGCTGTTCATGCTTTCTTAACATAACTTGGAATTTTTCAAGAAAATTTTCAAATGGAAAACAACTGATATTGTCTAATCGACCAAAAATTTTTAATCATTACACAAATTCAATAACCCATAAACTTTGTGTGAAATTAAATGCTTGCCATATATAATTTGAACATTTTTAATTTAAACTCATTAAAAGTTGTTTAGCAAATTCAATATACAAATGCAAACCAGGTCTTATTTATTACAGCACATAAAATGAGACTAATTTTTTTTCAGATAAAGCATTCTATGCTAAACATGTTAAGTGCATGTAGCCTAATAGAAATTAATTAATTATATTAAAATTTGGTAAACTTAAAAGAACAGTATTAACATTTGGAGTAATATATTCATTTTATGTTCATAATGGTGCCATATCTTTGATGTAAGGAAAACACCTACATTTACAAAAATCTTCACCTTCTTGAGTACATTTTGTACAAGAAAATACTATGTATAATTTTTGGCTTTTGTTTTTTTTTGGGGGGGGGGGGAATTATTATATCATTGATGTTTAATCCAATTAGCCCATTAGTCAATAATGGTTTAGCTTAATTTACAAAATAATATAGATATTCATATTTATTGTTATCAGTAGGCTTACTTTTCTCCTAATATAAATCAATAGGAAATATATTTTTTTTACCTTAATAGTTATCAGGTTTAACATAAGCTAATATTGGCCAAATTACTACTGTAGCTATTGGGAGTACCTCAATACCAATAATTAATTCTAATTTTTTGAGAATATTATCACTTGAATAATATTTTATCAGTGTATCAACTATTCCAAAATGAAAATATTTGCCATTTGGTTCGAGAAGTCATGTTTGACCAATATGAACAAGGGGAGTTTGAAGGAGTTCTAGAATTTTTTTAAATCTTTTAAAAACCTTTAAACTTTCTTAGAATAATTGATAATGTATTCAAAAACACTGAGTAATTTTAAAATTGGCAGCCCAATTTTTAAACTCAATTTCAATAGTTTCAGTAGTATTTTCAATACTTTAACCATACCTATATCATAGGTAATACATTATAAAAATCTTTTGTTAAATCGTTCAAAATATTTGTTTCAGAACATAAATTATCACTAATTATATTAACAACAACTGCAGTACCCACACTATTCGTTATAATATGTCATAAAGGTGAATTAAAAGAACAAGGTGAACTTAATGAACTATTAAAATTAATTTGTTCATTTAAATTGTTTCTTGTAGCTGAATTATTCTTTTGAGAGTCTGAGAAAAAATATTAAAAAACTTTTTACTGGACCCTTTGTTAATTTTTGGCATTTTTATAGACAAATTATGATTAATGATTATACAATTTCTAAAATAAATGCTAATGTTTAAAAATTGAATTAAATTATAATTTACAATATTTTAGTATGGTAAATAAAACCTAATAATACAGAGAATGATAAACAGGAAGCATAATATATTGAAACTTCATTAATATTTCTTTTTGCATTTGATGTTAAATGAAATATTATAACTATCATCTATATGAAATTACTAAATTTTCAATAATAGTTAAAAAATTATTTAAATTTAGCATTATTGTGTCTTATAAAAGTAAAGTACATTTAAATACTTTTATAAATAATAATGCTTACTAATAGAATGTAGATACATATCAAATATATAACAACTAAGTTTTTTTTTAATTACTAATAAAGTAATAAATGTAATAAATACTTACTCATATTAAAGAACAAATTATATTTCACGTATTCCGTATTGCGTACTAAATAATTTTGGAGATGTATTAAGACTGAAAGACTGAATTGACTCGACTACTGGAGAACGGAGGATTCTTAAATTTTAATTGTCATTGCCAGTGCAGTCGTCTACTCACGAACACTAAAGCCAAACAAACAATCGACGGACTAAACAATCATTGTCGGATTGTCGGTTATAAATTTAGTACAGTATAAAAAATTATACAATATAAATATTTATTAATAAATTTATTATATAAGTATATATGAATATAATATGTACCACATAATATATTAATTATTACGATTACTGTTCGGAGTATTCATTACTCCTCAGTCCACGATATCACACGCGATAACATATTGGGATTATCCGTTACGGTAGCGACCAGCAGGCCTGCAGTGGTGTTTCAGAAAATACCTACTACCTAGAGTAAATATTAATGTACAAAATACAATAGATGTTTCATCCAAAATAATAATTTTTTTTTTTTTTTTTAATATTTTATTATAATAAAATAATATTACCGAAACCTCATTTTCCACTAATTTGACTAATCGTGTATCTAACAAAAATAATAAACCAATATTTGCAATACTATACACGAATTAGTATTAATAAGTACTATTTAAAAAATACCAACTTATTTTTTGGACTGATGTCATTTTTACTATTGATTTAATATATTGATATATTTTAATTTTTAATCAATGCTTTTACCAACTATAAACCGTTTGCTAGGACTATACAATATATTTTATTGTTATTTGATAGGTACCTAACAAAATCGCCTGCACAATAATTTCATAATAAAAAAGAATAATGTTGTGATCCAGTTACATCGAATCAAAATAAATTTAACATGTCGTTTAATAAACTATTATTGAAGTTTATTAACGTAGATTAATATTTAACACGTTTTAAACACTCAGAGTAATGTAACATCTTAAGAAAAATACTTCTAGCACGGATACCGTTAAAGAGTCACCACGCATAAATAGTATGTTCAGATCGTTCTGAGAGCGCCCTTATATGTTAAACAACAGCCGGATTCTATTATTAATTACAAGGTCTCGTTTAAGTATTTATTTTTGGTACTTTGATTTTAGAAACTAACTAGGTAGGTATTTCTTGTAATATTTATTGACAACAATTTATGTACTGCAGCACTGCAGCTCGTATCAATGCGTTAATGCGTAATACATGCCTGTTAGTGTGGTCCTACGTGTTACATACATATATATAAGTGTGTATGTATTGAGTACGGAGTTACAATCAGTCATCAGTGGTGTATTGGTAAAGGTAATAGGGATGGACAAATATTTTTAAACACCGATTTTCGATGTATCGATACATTGAAATTTGAAACATCGATTCTCACAGTGAAAATATCAATGTTTTTTAAAATCGGTGTACATAGAAAAAACATCGATGTTTACCGATGTTTTCACAAAAAAATTTTACCTTAAAAGCTGTTTTTTTTAGTGTGAGGTGGAATTTTTAATTGCTACATAGTGCAAATTTTATACTTACTAAATACCTTTTATACCTATTAAATGGTAATTAATTGGGTAAACTTCAAATACAAAACTATTTGTTTCAGTAAATATAGATTGAACATTTTTATTTTGAATTATTTTGTTATATTATTCTATTTTTATAAATCATTATTTACACACGATTAGTAATACATGTATAACTTACCTAATACCTGTATTCATATGAATAATTTTTAATAATAAAATTTTTAAATAAAAACAAATAACAATGCTTAATGTAAAATGTTTTATTATAATAATAATATACCTAATAGCTATTATGAGCAGATAATTAGTTATATGTATCAAGATAAAGATAATAAGTATAATTTTTTTTAGATAAATTATATAGGTTTTCTTAGTACTTAATTATAAATTATAAGTTATAACTTATAATACGTACAAATTACAAATATAATATTAATAAAAACAAAACTAAACAAAAAATATATAATATTAAAAACATATCTTTGTTTATAAATTATAAAAAAAAAAAAAACTAAAAACTTAAAAGAGAGTAAAATATTAAAAACATAACTTATCATTTATACATCTATTACAACAAACAATTTTTAACAAAAAAGATAATATAATACTAAAAACGACAACTTTTTGTTTAAATAATTATGGCATAAAACATAATAACTTGGTTATAATGACCATAATGTATCATCTAAGGATTGTAATAATAATAATTTGTTTAGATGTTTTTGTGTTAAACGATTCCGTTGATTAGTTAAAGTTAGTCCAGCTTTAGAGAACAACCTCTCACTTGATACAGATGTTGCAACAGTTGATAAATATTTTATTGCAATGTTTGACAAAATGCGATATACACTTTTCATATCATTCCATAAGTGAAAAGGATTGTCTGATAACCAAGCCACGCTTGATTTCAAGTACAAATTTAATTCATTTGGAAACCCCATGTCATCAGACCGAAGCTGCCCTCTACGTCTGGTAGCTTGTTGTGCCATTGATTCATGTTCTTGGCTTCTTGCCATAAATTGAAAGGTTTTGCTTCATCATGTACTAAAACAAAATAAATATATATATATATATAATATTATAATACAGTTTTTTTTACATTTTATTTCTTGAAGTTTCCATACTTGTTGTTGTATCGTTGTTACTCGAGCTTTCACTATGATCTTGGTTTTGTTTTATCTCTTCAGAAATATATTTCAATGTCTTAGAGAGTGCCAATCAATGGATCTTTAAAATAAATCTTTTTAAATTGTGAATCTAAAACTGTTGCTATGCTTAAAAATGTAACACTTTCAACTAAACCAAAACGCTTCTCACAATGAAATATGATTTCTTTTTTTAACTGAATGCCTAATTCTTGTGTACGTTTGAATTGAATGATGTTTTTAACCATCATGTACACCATAGGAATAACCATACTTGAAGTTACATATTTTTGACCACAAAGTTCTTTGGTAGATGCTTCAATAGGTCTTAATAATATCAGAAATATCTTTGATTTCTTTTCTGGATATCATTGATGGAGCTGTAATATGATTATGCACAATATCATTAATTATTTTGCTTAATTTAGTGAAGCGTTTTAACATATTATAATATGTACTGTTCCATCTGGTTGCTACCTCTTGAATGAGTTTACCATCACCATTGGTTGCTTTTCGCAGTTCGTCGCTCGCCACAACACTATATTTATTAGTTCTGTCAGTTTGGAGACACTTGAAATTGCATTCTGTGCAACAAGATTTAATGTATGTACAAAGCAAAGAATGTGTTGTTTTTTTCCAAAAGACAAATCGATTGCTTTAGTCATGTTTGCCGCTCCATCGGTTACCACTGCAACTATTTTTTATTTGGTAATATTCCATTCTGTGCAAACATCTATCAATTTAGACTTTAGTGGCTATATATTCATTTGTATGTCCTCGTCTAGTTCATATACTCTTAATAATGCTGCGTTGAATTTATATTTATCAACAAAATGAATAGTAACACCAATATAACTTCTAGTTTGGATGTCTGTCCAAATATCTGTCGTTAAAGTGAAATATTGTACATTTTTTAATTTGGCCATAAAAATGTCTTTCATTGTATCATATTTTTCAAATATTTTGCTAGAAATATATCGACGACTGGGTACTTTAAAATTTGGTGAAACTGTCTTCATAAAGTATTTAAACGCTTCGTCTTCGACTATGCTTAATGGCTGATTGTCTTTACAAATTATAAACATAATTGCATGGATAAGTTTTTTGGATTTGACACCACCTTCTTTGAACGATACCATAACACCAAATGATTCTGAAATCGTTTTTTGTCGTTTAAATGCTCCCATAAAAGTTTCATTGGATACGTTATGGTCTTTATTTTGTTCAATGGAACTTGAAGGTATATCATGAATCTTGGATGTTAATGCCTCAGGAATCTTGGATGCTGATGCCTCAGGACTCTTTAGTTTATCTTTATTAGATAATAAAGTATTTTTATGTTTGCTTTTTAAATGTCCATTCATATTAGATGTGTTACCTAAAAAATATGTCATGAAAATGTTGTGCTCACTTAGCATACGATTAACCAGAATAAATATGCAAATGTTGAAATGCATACAAATCCGCGCGTAAATTTATAATTTGTACATATACCTACGTAATTTAATAATGTTTATCTTAACGACGTTCATGTGCGGTTAGATTATCAATAAATATTGTATGCTGAATTACTGGACATCTATATTATACTTGTACGAGTATTATGTATATAATTAGTCAGTTTATCAAAAATTGACTTTTTTTTAATTTCTATTATCCGAACTCAGTGTGGTCCCAATTATATAGTTCGGATAATCGAGGTTTTATTGTACTAATTATTGTTGGAGTAGTCGAATAGTGTTCCTGATAGTCTACAGTAAATTATTTTACGTCCCAAAAAGTATTAACAACAATCGCGTCATATAACTACTACCAGTAACCGAACGCAGTTGCGTTGTCGTCCGCAGTTCCACGGCTAGACTCCGGTGTAGGCCACACCGTGTTGTCCGCCGTCTTTGATTGGGTGTACGGTGTACCCATAGGTCATCTATGATCTATTATCTATAGCAGGGATGGGCAACTCAAAGTTACTATAGGGCCAATTTTTAGAAAAATTTAAATATAGCGGGCCAGAACATAGAAAGCAAAAAAAAAAAGTCATCAAAATATACATTTTGAATAGCATTTATTTTGTATATAATGAAATAGGACTTAGGTTAAAATTGTATACCTATACCTAATGCAATTTGAAAATGTAGCGCAGGCCAGATAAAAAAGGCTCGCGGGCTGCCAGTTGCCCACTCCTGATCTATAGTACATAGATAACCCAAGCAAATATTATGTAAATATCTATTAGTCATTATTAACATAGGCGTAATCTAGGGGAAAGAAGGGAAAACTGTCCCTCTATATTTTATTGAGGAGACAATAGTATCATTTTTCCCCTTTTTAAAAGTTATAATTTAACTTCTACTTAATCATAGAAAAATAAAACAGCATAATTAATTTTAAAATAATTAATAATAGATTTATCGTTTTGTGTGCTATGGTATATTGAAAGAGATGGACTAGTTAATATTGATCAAGTAGTTTGACGAATTTGATGAAGGTGTTCTTTGATTCGTGATCGTCGATTGTGTTAAAATAAATTGAGTTATAAACATATAATTTTTAATAACTTTGTTGAGTTTAATATCTTTTTTATTAGTTTTGCAATGTAAAATTTAAAAAAAAATAATGAGTTATTAAATATTATTTGTTCATTAATTTATTAAACTAACTTTTAGTGTTACATTGCTTACCCCCCCCCCCCCTTAGAATTTACTTAAAGTTCTGCCACTGGTTATTAGTATTTTAGTAACTATTTATACTTAGAACCCATTTTTATATTATCACAAAATATTTTTAAATTATCAAAAAATTGGATAATTTTAATGAATTTTTTTGAGATTATTATTATTATTATGCGTATACATGTACTAGCCGGTGTGTATGTGCACATATACTGACGTATACTTGCGTATCGGCTATTTTTCAAAAGGTATACGCTATGGATGAAAATCTCATGACTATGGATATACTATGTCGTATACCCTCCAATGCATCACTGGTAAAATTTTTAAAAAAACTCGTATGCGGAGTCAAAGTGATATATTATGAAACAGCAACAATGCGTATACAATTACAGTGTACCGTTATATTCGTTATAATGATTCGTACATACCTACGTGAAATATTTTTTTTCTTTTATCATCTTCTATAACGAATTATTGAAAATTCCACTTTTCTATTCACACGATGGACCATACCCGGTAGAATACCTACCTTCCTATTTACATGTAGATTTCCAATGGTCATTCATTGTTATTTCTTTGTTAATCCATTGTTATTTATCATTATTCCTTTAGATCATACACGTATTGATCAGATTTTAAAGATTTCAATCTCTACTTAAGAACTTATTTAAGATTTATTTGAACATGAGTATGCATGATACGTCACACAATATTTTGCTACATAGCTTAAAAAAATTAACTGTTTTTGAATTATGGTTCGAGTTTCTCTCGAAAAAAATCCTTTATTTAATCGTTATTATTTGCAATACGCGGTGACAAACTGAATAAAAGTCATTGAAGACAAAATTAATAAAATGTATAACCATAGCAAAGAGATCTCTCTAAATTTTATATTAAAAATAAAATAACTTGGAACAAATAAGATGCATTCAATTTTGTCTGAAACAAAAGAATATTATTTTTCAATTACGAAGTATGAATATCTTATTTTTAAGTTAGAAAATTTGGAATATTGGTAATTGGTGATATTTAGAATGCGAATGTAAATGTTTAATGTATTTAATATAATGAATGCTAGTATAAAAATCTAAAATAACTTAAAATTCAAAAATTATTTCAAATGCTTCTTAAAATTGTTTCTTAAATCTAGTACAAATTTAGTATGGTTGAACAACTAAAAGAAAAATATTTTTAAAGTAAAAACCACTGATGGTTTAAATTTAATTAAAATATTTGTATTTATGACTTCTTCGTGCTATTTAAAAAATACGTGTTAGCGTGTCTTTTTAAGTGTCGACATCTAATTCACCACCCAATTCCCAATTTGCATACTGCCGCATACTTCCAATTGATTGAAATTTTTTTATTTTGTAAATATTTTAATTACATTTTATAAAACGAGTAAATAAGTATTATGTGCATTAAGTCTAGTTTTTTAAAACTTAGGTCTTAGTTATATTTAAATAATACTATTCACAAAGACATGGGTGTAGGCACTTACCTATTAATTATGCTACGGTCTTCACAACGATTTTGGTATGGGCCACGAATTAAATTTTAAAACTACTTGAATACAGTGAAAAATTTTGAATTTACTCAATCAGTATTGATCTAATAAAGCGTCTCCGTTGGGTATATTTTTCCCCGAGGTATAAAAATGCCTAATTCCCGGTCAATACATTGTTGATGATTAAAACTAAAAGATAAAGATGAAATAAATAAAATATGTCGCATATAAAAAATAACAAAACAAATATTTTATTTTATTTAGGTAGAAAAGTGTAGAATGTTAAGTTTTAGAATATAGAATTCATTTTTAGTGCAGCCCGCTGAACTAATGGAACCGAACAACACCTTATTATGTTTAATTATCAACTATTTTTTTTTTATCCAGTATTGTAACTTGTTAGTTGTCACATAACAATACCAGTTGTAGTCGCATCAGACTCGTTCGGAATAGGCTTTCTCTTTAGGAGGGGAGATAATATCCCGGTCGTCTGAGATGGACCACCAGCATTGAACGCCACTGCTGCAGGTCCGTACATATAAAGAAAATGGAGTGGTTTATGCCACTCGGGCTCCACCACTCATTTCTCATGTTGTAGCACCGATGATTTTCATACCTACTGCACATATCTGATGTCACTTGTTCTACATCTACCTGCATGTTACAGCCCTAATTCACATATTTTTTCAAAATATATGATATTTTTGTCTATTGTAGGTAAACTGTCAATGTGCAGGGCGGAAGCGTAAAGTAGTAATATGTGCGTCCCGATACCAAAAATAAAAACTTAGACTTCGCACACTAACACCTAAGACCTAAAATACGTAGAAAATAGATATATCTGGCTTGTGTGGTGCTGTTATAACTCGAACTGAAGTGGTCGGGATTGCCGAGCAAATACTGTCAAGCTATGAAATACGTGTTGTATTAAGTATGAGTTAAGTTAAAAATTAGTGTCAGTCGATAGATAAGTAACTCAGAGTTAAGTATAGTGTAATACGATATAAATAACTACGACCCTTTTAGCCCCATAGATAAAAATAATATACAACATGTATGTAGTAAATATAATAAACTATCTGAATTACCCGGCTTGGCCGTGTGTATTTATGTCGATTAATTTCTCGGAACAATTCAATTTATAGTATTAATAAAGTTTGAACACTACTACAACTTTTCGGCATTTTAAGATTGACGAATGTACAAAAAACTTGAAAAATTATTAAACGAAATCTGTATGTACGGAAAGCGTATCATGAAATTATATTTATATACGTGACTGCGATTACTGCTTGGCGATTAAACACCGACTAAATGCTCGACAATATGAGGCGGTGTGTTTATAAAATATAAGAATAAAAATATAATTTTGTAAAGGAAATTTAATAAATTTAAATATAACTGGTCTTCATTGTTGTCTATGACTACGTTGCAAAACGAGATACAATTTTAACATAAATTATCCAAAAATATAATAGTTAGGGAATAATTTATTTCTTAACAATACGTCATGAATTCATTAATCATAATCTCTTTCTATGGTAAAATGGAATTAAATAATTAGTTTAATGATCTTTTTATACAAAATAAGCTTGATTATGCTAAGTATGATTTTGGAGGAAATGATGAAAACCACCTAAGATTATTTTTATCAGTTTGCAGCATCATGTACGATCAAAACTGTAGATGCATTAAACGTTTTTTACGCAAATATTATTCATGTAACATGTATAACACATAAAATGTGGTGGAATAAGTAAGATAGTTATCCTTTATTGTAAACAAATTATTTAACAATCCCCTCTAAGATTGAATATAACAGATTTTATTTATTATAATATATATTGGTTTTTAGAAACATAAATTGTTTTCATGAGAAAATGATACAATATTTATAAATTATAATTATTCGCTAAAATAAATTATGTATTTTTATTTAATTTGAGATTTAATAAATAAGTGGACTCTATATCATGCATGACGTTTAATTCCAAAAATTAAGTTAAACTGAAGAAATTCTGAAAGCTGTCATGAAATTAAACTAACACTTTTAGAGTATATAAATATAATATACTATATATTTTGCTAACTGTAACTTCTGTAATCCTCCATCACTACCACGACGTATGCATCGAGTAATAGTAGTGATTTTGATTAAAACGATTTTAGACTAAATAATTATGAAAAAAAATTTGAAATTAATGATATCCACAATATTGCAAATAACTATTTTTTGAATATTAATATTAAAATTCTATTAGATTTGTTATTAGTTTAAAAAAAATGCTTATAACCAATCTAATACAACTCTTCAGTTCACGGTGAATGTATATTTAGTGTAATCGGTTAGTTATTTAATAAGCGAAGAGATCCAATAGGCAATAGCTGATAAAAACTTTAAGATGAAACTTTTGCTATAATTTAATAAATATTTTACTAAAATACAAAGTTGGCTCCTTTCTCTTATAGTTTTTGTTCCCTGAAAAGTATTCAGAGTTTAAAATTCATTATATTCTTAAATATCATGTCAATTTTATTTAATAATTTAAAAAAAAAAATGTTTATCTATATAAACAAGTTAAAAGATTACCTATAATTACGCTTTTGGTAACTACTACATATTTATTTTCATTTGTACCTTTTTTTTTTCAATTTAGTTTTATGTATAGTACATTTATTTTTAAGCTAAATAACATTTATGATTTTTATTATTTTAAATTATATTATCAATTATTTATGTATTTCAAAAAAAATAAAAATAATAATTTAATTAAAAGTTTTTTTATAACTTATAAATTAATTGAGTTAAAAACAAATTAGGATACTATTAACCAAACTTTTTAAAAATGTATTTTTTATTAACTTAACTCGGTCAAAAAAATTCAAGTTATCATTATCCAGGTTTGTTATTTTATAGTAAAACATTTACAAAATCTTCAATTCTTCTGAGGTTTTACAATTGAATAAATATTTAATAAATAATTTTTAATATTGAAACAATATTAAATAAAATTACATTGTTTACATAAATATAAATAGCTTTACATCTTAAAATATTTTCCTTAATAATTAATATTATTATTTATTACGATAATTGTATTTTAATTAATAGTGTATCTAGCTAGAATCGGTTGCAGTTGCTATGCATGAAATGTTTATTTGGGTAGGTTCACCTACATATATTATTGTACGCGTCGCGAAATCAAATAAAACTGCGATGCTCAACAGCGGCTTAATTAACAAAAAACAAAATTGATGAGTTGACAAATTAACCAAAACATAATAAATATATAAAATTGCCGATTTCAGGGCACAAAATTATCGAAAAAAATCTATAAACAGGACACCACTGATTCGATAACGATATAGATTAAATATAATATTACCTTCATGAACGGAATCGATTGTGAGGAAGATGGCGCAAGTATGTTCCTGATGCCCCTAAAAAAGAAGCGGTGTCCAGTCGATAACGACTATCCACCTACCCAAGCTGGGCCGAGTGCTGCTCGGTTCGAGGATTCAGTCGAGTGGAAATGGACAAAGTGCACGTGCGAAAGTCTGTTCCGGACTTTAGGTCGGTACTACGACGAGACATGGTTTCCAACCGTGATTAACGAGTGGTGTCAGCTTTATTATCGGTGTAACCACGTAACTGATTACTGGCAGCACCGGGACGAATGGCTGGCTGGCGACGAGGAAGTCCGGCTAGCCGTGTGGGCTGAAGTGCTTAGGCATCGCGACCAACACGACGCGAATCAAAGCGAACAGAATGATACCGATCTAATGTACGTTGACGACCGAGTGGATGCTGCAAAGGTCAGCCCATTATATTTTATTATTAAAGCTCACTCACACATTTTTTGTTGAAACAACTCGACAAATTAATTCTTCACACTTTCTGTAGTTAATTTAACAAAAATAAGATTAAAAATATTAGTATTTAACATTAGGCATACATAACTTATTAATTTGTTTGATATGATTTTTTTTTTGTTGTAACCTTGATGCTAATTCTTTTATATTTGGTTTAAAATTTGTAACTTTTAACGAAACACATACGAGACTGCATTCATCCAATAGTCGTAACACTCTAGTCTTTTAAATAAAATTTGATGAAATTCATTTCCAAAAAGACTTACTCCCATGAATAAGTTGAAGGTCACTATAATATAATTTTCTAGAAGATGTAAAGGATAATGAAAAAGTATTTATAATGTGGTCTCATGATTAATTAAATTATAAAATAAATAAAATATTTTTATTTTTCACGTGCCTTTGACATTTTTTTCCATCCCTGTCTTACATATTTAACTAGTCACTTTCTGACCTCATCATAATAATATTTATAAAAAAATTGACATAACTATTATATTTTAATATACATTTTTTAATTTTTCAATATTTATACCAATTTTGTATTTATCGTTTTACTAGTAATAAATAGGGTACCAAAACTTATTTATATATCATATAATATAACAGAGGTAGCCAATATAAATATGTTCGTGAGCTAAAGGATAAATACAATGACACCAAAATCTAAGATATTTATAAACACATTTCATAATATAATTTGATAAATGTTTTTAAATTTATACCAATAACATTAAAATTTATAGTAACAATAAGTACATTTTTATTTTATAAATAAAACGCGGGCTACAATAATTAACAACTCCTAATATAACATAGTAACAGCTAAAAAGTATGATGTGGTATTTGTAATTCACCCTTTATACTAAGTAAATTACGCACTATAAACAACCTATACATATTACGTATAATGGATTATATTTTCATGATCAATAACACTAATTTTAATATAGAAAAAAAAAAATGATTAAAATGATTTGGTATTATTATTACTGAATAGTTTATTTTATTCAACAGTTATTTTACCATGCATTATTTTTAACCACGCAATTTATACTGAATGCATGCTGTAGATAATGGAAATACACGGGGCCTTGAACGAAGCCAACGATAGGATCGAACTGAAACGAATGGACGTACAACTCACGCCTTATGTTGAGAAGCCAAGTGCTGCGGATAGAAAACGGGCAGAAGTTGAAGCAGCAGAGATAGCATTAGCCGACCCGGACAACGAACCAGACTGGGTGGATATGAGACGAAAAATGCGCGGCTCGTTTGCGGCATTAAATCTGGCCCAGTGCGATGTCAGCGCCGAACTCCTGGACCACATTATTATTGAGCTGTGCAAGTATTGGGCCAATGTGCCGGAATTAGAGCACGTGATTGAACCGCTTCTAGAGCGGAATATAATGCGTGAAGTACAAAGCTTTCGGTTCAAACTATTCAATATGGTAATCGATATTGAACCGGAGATCGAACAATCATGTCCGGAAACGGAGGAACCGGAACCATGTTACATACGACCGCGGTCATCATCCCTACCGCCACCACCACCACCATCACCTGTGATCTGCAAGAAACCGAAACCTAGAACGGCAAGCTGTCGCAGTCGCAGACCAGCTACCACAAAATTGGCCGAAGCTAGAGCTCGGCAAAACGCCGCCCGAGCGCAGGATCGCGAAAACGCGTCTATGGGCCAATGTCGTGACCGTAGGTAAATCGCGACCGACTAATATTTACGAGTCTACATTTTACTCTTAGATTGTACGTTGTGACAGTTTATAATATGATAACCAAATAAAATTTTAAATTTAATTATATTTTTCATTAAAAATAATATATACAATCTATGGTAAAACTTAATAGACATAATAAGCAAATTAGAAAATGAAAAGAATACACAAAAATGATATTCATGAGTAGGGATACCACCTAGTAATAGAAGCCAACGTTAATATTCTTGTTATTATAATATAATTATATAACATGCATTTCTGGATATAATAATAATTTGGTGTTATTATTGTTTCTCACCTTGTGAAGAATATTTGACGGGTTGATTTATGAGGGAAGGGGGGGGCAACGTGACATTGAACACTAGGACGTTTTAAATAATAATTATTTTTCATATTTTTTTTAATTATGCATAATTCTTAATATGTTTATTTACATAATCTGTAAATCATTTTTATAATTTTATTTATTTAAATATTAATGTGGTAATATTATACTGCAAAATAATAAAATGTTTACAGTGAAATCATATAATATTTAAATAATATATTCTATTTTATAATGGGCTGTAATACTTAATTTATGTTATTTAAAACTTGGACGCAACTAGACTATTTAAAAAGATACAGATTGGACGCAGATAGGCTATGATCCTATTTGAACTATTTTAACGGGACGCAAATTTGACTCGTCTACTGATAATTATCTCGAACGCAAGTATTATGCACTGATATTTATAAAAATAAAATTCTTTATAAGCAGGGTTGGGAATTATAGCATTTGCATATTTCTTATGAGATGCTTAAAAAATAGCAGAGTAAGCTAAAAATGTATTTCATGATACAGATAACTCAAATTAAAAATTTTATTTAGCTTTTTTTGGACTTTTTTGCATTTTTACTAGTTTTTAAATCAAAATCGGTCATATTTACTTGAAATTTTATTTTAGCAAAATGTGTTTTCAGATTTTTGTCAATTAAATTTAAAAGTGAATTGTAAATGTTTTAAATTAAGTAAATAGACTGATTACGCTGATTTAACGCCGTACAACTATAGCGATAATATTATATAGATATAATATAATATTAAGATGATTTCGTGTTAGGTATTTGGTTTTAATTTTTGTTAATTGCTGATTTTGTTAGGTTTTTTGCACGATTTCCTTTTTTTGCATATTTTGTTTTTTTTACAGCATATTTAGCGATATTTAAGGTAATATTATAGCGCATATTTATGTACCTAATTTTAAGTGTTATAAAATCCTAACCATGCTAATAAGCATTTATTTTCTCAAAATGTGACGAATGACAAAAAAAACACAGATTATTTTAAATAAGCTAATTAATTTTCACTTCTCTCAGAACTGTATCTATAAAATGAAAAATAAATGGACACTTATTTAAATAGGAACAAATAAAAACAATACAAACCCACTAACCAAGGTAAAATAAATGACAAAATCCATCTTATAATTAGCTTAAATATTTATACAGAGATGAAGAAAAATAATTATGTATATTTGGGTAGAATACCTACGTATTTTTTTAAACAAAGAATACTTCATATTGCCTGTAATGATATTAAATTTAGATACCCATAGGTCATAGGTACCATAGTTATTTATATTAATAATTAACTATAACTTGGATATATCTGTGCAGTTTATAAAATAGGTAGGTATTTCAGAGCATTTAATGTTAATTTACTTTTGTTAGTGTATTATATATTTATATGTATCGAAACAACTTGATAATGCTCGTTGGTTGAATTATTTAGTTAAATGGAACTATAATATATAATAATTGTTATACACATACGATGTTGCTTGGTATAATTTAGTAAATTATTTAATTTTTTTAAGACATTGTTATTTCTTATTCGACTGAACTCAACCTTCTCGAATTTGAAACATGCTTAACAAGTTTGTTTTAATATAGATTAAAAAAAAGTTTATACAGATTGTAGATTGTGCGTAAATAAAAAAAAAAATGAACAAAAAGATGCAATCGCCTCCGTGTTAATAAAATAAGTCGTAACTCGTAGGTACTCTCTTATTTTTAATTAAAGTCAAATACTTGAGACAAAACAAATATTATAGATACACGATAAAGGGGTTTGAAAGATAAGTTCTATGGTTATTCAATTTAAGTTTTAGAAATTAATTATAATCTATCAACATTTAATAATTTGTAAAAATTTCGGAGTTATATACTTATTAATTAATAATTAATACGTACCTACTAGATTTGATATCACATCTGTTTTGTAATTTGTAAAATAATGTATAAAAGCTATTATTCTTAGTAAATATTAAATACATATAATAACTCAGAATTTATTCAATCGAATGTTAATTTAGATACCTATATTATAATTTTCAAAAAAAAAAAAATACATGTATCATCAAAGAAAAAAAAAAGTTTGAATCATCATAGAAACACAGGACACTTTTTAAATAGTATAAAAATGTAAATAATTGAAGATATTGCCTTTAAGTAATCTTAAACAATTCCAAAAACCAAAAATTGAATGAATTTATTATTAAAGAAAAAATGTGAATGAGTATGTTTGGTGAATCATTCTGTATAAGATTCTATGTATTTGTACATTGAATATTGCAGGTGCATTAGTATCTGATGTAAAATAGAAACATCTTCGTGATTCTCCCTATAAAATGGGAAACGGGTTCACACTGGTATAGCTGTAGAAAATATATTATTTATAAAAAGGTACTTGGAAATGCTTTTGAATGCATTCCATGCATTAGTAAATAAATCACTTGGGTAAGAACATCGTTTTCTTAGGGGAAAAAAAGATGACAGCAGTTATTTGGTACCCATTTTATACTACCTGTATAATACTATTATGATAAATTTTTATATGGAATCGTTGTTATTGTCGAAAACTGTTGTTATATTATTGTAGTACTGTGGTAACATTCATTCAAAATGGAACCCTATCTTTATACTTCGAACAAATAATACACATACATACCACGTCCCTACGGGTGGGAACGCGTAAGCGTTTACCCAAAGAATATTTATCACCTCAATACACCATCATAAATTCAAAACCTAAATCGAGTATTCATTTCGTAAATCGTGAGCATTGACAACAACCAAAAGTAATAAATCGATTCAAGTACACATTCCATCCAATATTTTTAGCTATATAAACGAAAAAATGTAGGTACGGTATAGGCAAATTATGTTGTCTAATAGCCAATAGGTATACAAGCATAATAAACTGCTGCATGTTATTTTCCAAAACAGCGTATAAGTATCTATTTATTATTTTAATAAGATTTTTCTTATACGCTTGGGTATCAACAACAGAAAAATATCAACCAATTATTATTCATGTATATGTTATTAAAATATTATAACAAAATAATATCAATTTTATCCAAGAAGAAGGCGAAATAAATTCAATAATGAACCATGAATATTCTCAATAGTTATGTTGTCGCCGGGAAAGCACTTGCAATTCTTAGCCGTTTGCTGCCACGACTCACGGTGTGTTGAGGATAAAAAGTTACTCTAAGAAGTATATATACAATTATATAGATACAACGTAATAAAAAATAAATATTTCATAACAATGATTAATATAATAACTGATCACAGCTCCAAAATAGGCAATATAACAATATTAACTTAATGACCAATTTAAAAAGGTCGCCCAAAGATTATAGAACTACATAGGTCAACATATATAGATATAAAATAGAAAGGGGAAACAATATATAAGTAAATTCACCTAAAACGTGATACAAAATAATAATAAATAAACCACGAAATATACACAACCAAAAACGACCTGGCAATTCCGCAACTGTCTTCTGGAGATGAAAAATACGATCGTTGGTCTAATATGATGCTGTTCCAACAATGGATTATACTTGTCCGTCACTTGTATGACACGCCTCAAGTTATCGATGTACTGTGGTACACTGCCACACAGGTAACGCGCACGTTTACCAAAAATAACCACAAGGTTTTGTGTGGTAACGCACAGACGGCCTCGAGCCGGCACGCACTACCCGGAAGAAAAAAAAAGAAACCACCGAGGTTTATGGCGGCGGCACACACAAAATTATAAAAAAATATGGATAAGACAACCAACCAGGTCGCCTTCCAAAAAAAAGGTTTTTAAGTCGCAACACGCGTGATGGCGACGGGCAACACACCAAGATATGTTCCGTCCGGTGGTTGCGAAAAGACACTAAAAAAAAGTATATCGAATAGGCCGACGAGCAAAACCAATCGAACCCGTGTATCGATTTCGCGACAATTATATCGCACACAAGATAAATATTAGTCGATAGCGGAGTCCGGTGGCGGCGGGAGGGAAGATGTACCTTTTTCTGAATCGACGGGCAATTAGATAATTAGAAAAGATACCGAGTTCGAACAGGTTATGTGGCTTAATCAATATAATTGATGTACCTAATTTTGTGAAGAAAAAATAAGTTACTCGTACAATAAAGGTATGTTTAATGTCTATACTCTATACCAGGAGTAGTCAAACAGCGGCTCATGTCATAGTGTTAAAAGTCTCCTATGGCTCGCATCTTATCATAAATTACAAACATTATTACAAAAAAATTATTTTCAATATGAATTTATATATTTGAAGATGTATAATATTTTATTAAATTTCTAGTTATAGAAAAAATGTACAAAAAAAAAATAGTGTTTTTGATATTATATTTAAATATGTATTATTTTTATTTTTAATTATTAATTAATATTATAATATATTGTTCTACATTTTATTACAGTTTGTATCTAATTATCTTCTTTACGATAATCATATACATTATATTAATATGAACTTTTTTTTCATTTTTGCTGGCCACCCCGCTGCTCGATATTCTATACATATTACAGCTGTACTCGCATGATGCCGCTCATGAAAAGAATTGTTAGTCAAGTACCTATTCTTTAAAATTTCATTTTTGTTGTTAAACATGATATAAAAAAAAAAGTAAAAAAAAAACGCAAAAAACACGCTCCTTGCTGATACTGTATTTGAACTAAAGACTTTCTTTTTAATAATATTAAAGTGTCACTAACCAGAGAGATCCAGCACAAAACGGTAATTTAATAGCTATTTAAAAACGATATACCTAACGTTTCTGAGGCATAAATTTGATTGTATGATAGAAATATTATTGATCAAATTATACGAATGAATTATATGTTAATCCAACAGTGAAAACCGCATCAAAATCCATTCAGCTATTTCGGAATTTATCCCGAACAAAAAAGCAACTTAATTTTATATTATATGTCTATTTATTGATAAAGATAGGTAGGTATATTACACATGTTAACTGCTTTCATCATTATACTTGTAAAAAGTATTTGAAATAAATACTCGAATACGTCATAAAAATAGTATTCCAAATAAATAAAAATATTTTTTGTTTTAAATACTAGAAATATGATTCTTATCTTCGGAAAATTTGTAATTATAATCAATATTAAAATGTATTGAATTTATAAATATGTATACATAAAGTACTCGTACTGCTAAACTGCTAAATTGTATGTGATAATTTCTGATTTACAAATTAACGATAAATATTAAATTATATTAAAATAAAAAAAATAATTTTAATATTCTAAAATTATTCGAAATATTACCCAAGTCTGATCATCGGCCACTTCTGGTGGTTTTACAGATTCGCTAAAGTAATATCTAAGAATAAAAACTGAATCTATACACGATTTTGATCGTTTAAAGAACTATCAAAATCAAACTATAAAACAATATAACTTGTATTTTAACTATGTAATCACAAAAATAAAAAATAAAATATTTGTATTTTAAAAAAAAAAAAGCTATCCAATCATTGTGTGTCAAACAGAAATAATTGAAGGTATCTACTGGATTTTAACCTGTGGGATGTTTACATGGTGTTTTATAAAACAATTAAGCTGTTATATTTACTTATTTTATTTTTTTATAAATAGTAATTTTTTGCACCTTCTCAACTAAAGACAATATATATTAACCAAAACTCAAAATATGTAATGTATAATGAGTTAAGTGATTAAAAAAAATATAATAATTTGTTGTTTTTGGTATCTACTTTAAAATTTACAATTATTTAAAACGTATTTACTATTTCCATTTATTTTATAACAATAGTCGTTTTGAAAATAATTCGTATTAGAAAAACTATTAAAATATATTCCAAAACAAAAATATCATTATTTAATAATTTCTAAACCTTTTAATTTAACTATTATTTAAGTACTCAGAAAACATGCTTATAAACATATTATTAAAGAAAAATTATACAATTATAATTATATTTTTACATTTATGTTTATGTGTTTAATTGACTAAAATATTAATACTTAATTATAAGTTTACATTTATTATTTTTTTAATTATTATCTTCATTAATCCTTTCATCATCAATTTCATTATTTTTTTTTTTTAAATTACGTTTCAAAAGAAGTTTAAAAAAAAATTTTAGTATTGGGTTACAATAGGATGTAAATTTAACATAATTTATTTTGAACAAAATATTAGCTTGAGTGCTTGATAATATTTTAAAGATTGGTATAATCGTATTAAAATTGTTTCTAATCACTTCTATTTACAATAATATTAATATTTGCAGTTTCAATTAGGGCTTTGACTTTTTTCTTAATATTTACATTTTATTGAGAAATATCAATATTATTAAATATTAAGAGTTGAAAACTATATACGAGAATTAAAAAAAATTAAACAAATCAAACTTTACATTAGAATAAATAATAAACATGTTCTAAAATAAAAAGATAATGTCGTTTTGATAACTATGTTGGAGTTGCATTGTAAATAAAAACAAATCACTTTTTAAATAGACAAATAATTTTAAAAAATAAATGAATTTTTAAAATTATTTAAAAATACATGATTATCATTTAAAATAATTAAGACTTTCTCAAAAATGTAGGATTGTATTTTCAATTTAATTTCAAACCTAATAATTTTATTTTATTTCTTATTTTACAACATAGACTATAGTGTGTTTGGAATAATATAAAAATACAAGGTAAGTATGATTTGGAATAATTTATGTAAGTAGTTTGTTTTGATATAGTATATGATTGGTGACTATTAAATACAGGAAATAGTTTTACTCATAGCTTAAAACTAGAATAAGCATATTTGGCCACTCATATACCTTTGTTATGTATGGAATAAGATTGTTTTAGATTAACCAGTCATTTTTAAAAGTGGATTTAAACTAGGAATAATATATAGTAGATGTTTAGATCTAATCTGTCAATGCCATCGATTAATTAACTTATTTCCAAAAAAATTATCTAGTTACACATAGAGCGGAATTGGATTATCATTCTATATCATCAAGTGATACGTTTTTTTTATATAGCTATTAGTCATTTATTTAACTTTTAATATTAAACTAAATGATATATTTTTTTACAAAAATATTACATTTTTTAATATTATTAGTATTTAATTTATTGTTGTTATAATAATATCTTTACATAAATCATATAAAACAGTAAAAATAGATTTATAATAGGTACCTATCAATAAATAATATTTTAAAATAAATCAACATTTAAGTTCTCTCATAAAATATAATGTTATATATTGTTTAATAATGTAATTTAGTCCAAATTGTAACTAAAAATGTTTATTTTAAATATTAAAAAAAAAATAAATAAATAATTGTCTTTAAAGAATAAATATAATTTTATAATATAAAGTATTAATGCACTATATTGAAGTTATTTAATTTTAGTCATATTAAAAATAAATCAATACATTATTCAAAATATTTTGTATTAAATTTAAATCGTCTCGTATAATGCATATTTCATTAATTTTATTGTCTACCAAATACATCGATAACAATAAATTAATATTTTAAAGAACAGTTATAAAAAAAAAAAAATTATTTTTTGTTTTATTTTTACATTTAATATTTATATTATGAATTGTATTAAAATAAGTTGATGTATATCTATACAAACTACACAATATACCTACTCGATAACTCAGTTATAAACTTAAATAAATTATTATTAATTCACAAAAAAAATATATAACTATAGACTATAGTATATAGTTATAATTCATAACTAAGAATTAAAGTTATAGAATATAATAGAAATACCAGTATAATAATATATATAATATTTATTAAATAAATATACTTTGTTAAAAGAGATAAGTTAAATAATACATTTTAATATAATTAAATTGTATAAGCAAATTAATATTTATTATGAAAGTATTTATGAATGCTATTATTATAACAACTAATAATTAGTTATTACATTATTGGTTCATATTAGTTAAGTTAATTTGGATTTGAAGATAAAATCCCATCATGAAATTCTTAGTAGTTAAACCAACTAATTTTAATTTTCTCAGATTGTTTTGTGGTTTTTTGTATTTATATGTCATAAATTTGCAAGTTAATCATCTAATTCAATAAGATTGTGTTCTAAAATAACCAAAAGAAAACTGAAACCTTTTTATTCAGTTTTTGAACTAAGAACCAATCATTTTACTTGGCATCTGACATTATAATTATTAATTTTATAACTTTGTATTACATATCCAAATATTTATTAGGTTAGTATAATACTATATTCCATAGATATGAAAAGATAAAAGATAATATTAAAATTTAAAGTAACATTGACGTTATTATTTATAATAAACGTTTGTCATGTATTATTTATGTGTTTTTTTTAGTAATATTGTAAGTAATATACTACATACTCAATGATATTAAGTTAGGATTGTTAGGCCATTAGACGTAGCAGATATAGTATATTAAATTATAGGTACTAACAGTAGCCAGTACGTACATGAATTGAATCATTTATGATTTTATATTATTTCATCTTATAGGATGGGAGGTGTTAACAGTTTGCTATGGCTCAATTTTATATACACATATCCCAGTGCTGGTCAAATTTACTGTTTTTTTCTTTTTATGCCGTTCACTAGGAAAATAGAAAATTTGAGGTACGGATTGGACACATATATGCAGTAACATAAACCGAACAACACTAACAAATACAAAGATTAAAACACAATGCTGGCCAAATTGAAAATAGTTGAAAATTAATGTAAAAATGACGCCTTTAGGCGTCATCTGAACATGGGAAAGATCAAAATGATGCCTCAAGGTGTCATCCCATGGCAAATGTATCAAATGCAGATACATTTTAAGTATTTTTTTTGATTATTATAATTTTATTTCCAAACATATTACATAATATTATTTGTTAATTATTAGATAGGGGTCCTCCATATACATTTCTTAAACGTGTTAATAAGTCATAATTACCCAGAGGTATTATTCACAAATCTGGTATAGATAAAGAAGGCTTTTAACAATTTGGGAAGCGATCTTAGGTCTCCCTTTTTTTTTTAATTGTGGCTTACCATAAGTTTGTTCATCTACTTCAAAAGACTCGCTAACACAAGAACCGCAGATCGCCAACCAATATAAGTTCAATTTAGTCAGTTATAAATTATAACATTAATTTATGCTGTAATATTGTTATTTTTCTTGGGTTAATTGGGTCCTTACGATCATCTCATCACACAGCCAAGCTTCTGTTTTTCACTTTGATATTATAATTATTTAAATAATTATGGTAAGTATTAAACTATATTAATATTTATTATTAACGATTATCATTATCAATAATTATAAGTTTTAAGAATATTTTTATCTATCATAATATTATTATCATATTTAATATTAATTTATTATTCTGTGGTAACACGGAGCAATAGTTTACAAAATCGCATTACGCATTCTGTTGGTGCTTATGACGAGATACGCCGCGTTTGAATAAACGTTGTGATTAAAACAACCTGGGCGGTGACCAAGCATTATCAGCAGTTATCTGTTATCAATAATTATAAACATATTGTACACTATCTTAATTATTGGAGTCTCACGATTTATTCATTATTGTGAAATCCCAATTGTCGTAACCACCGCTTTTTTATAAATTGTAAGTATTTAAACACCTTTCAAAATTCACATCGTATTGCACAATTACCTACTGAAACGCTCACAAATCCCCAAGTGAAAAATTAGTGATGAAAAACGTATAAACTTTTTTGTTTCCTTTCTAGACTGCCAGTACGTGTTGAAATTGTTATACAAAATGACCACAATCAAAAGTAAAACCTTTAAGTGGTCGTTGGATTTTACCAGGTAAAAATATTTGATCACTGAGTCCATATTTCTTGTATAACGTTATCACATAATTTTATCCCCTAGAAACAAACATGAAAAATCAACGGATAACGTTAGTCCACCAGGATATAGTCAATTAGCTGGACAAAATGGTACTGAATTGACAAGAGATAGTGAATCAAGTCGACTAATTATAAAAAAGTCTTGGGATTTAGCCTTAGGACCACTAAAACAAGTACTTGAATTAATCAATTTACATTTAATTCTTAATTGTCAATGTTCTGGTTTTATTAGGTACCCATGAATTTATTTATTATGTATATGGCTGGAAACTCCATTTCCATATTTCCTATCATGATGGTTGGTATGTTGATAGTAAGACCAGTCAAAGCATTATTTTCATTACAAACAAGTAAGTTAATATTAGAATTTTCATAACTATTTCTATTAGTTTTAATTAAGACGGAAATACATTAAAAATACTATACCTAGTTGCCTATAAAAAAAATGATTAAAGTTATAGATGTGTTTAATATATATACATTTAAATAGTTTATTATGTTCTAAAAAAGTTAATTAGAACTATATAATTTTAAGAATAATAATTATCAAACATTTTATATATTTTGTTATTTACATAATATTTTAACTATGACATTAAATTATACAAAGACAGTTATAATACATTATATAATTTCACGAATAAAGTCAAAATATTATTAGATTCACTTTGCATTAATTATCAATAACAGCATAGTACCTATATAATCATTAATACAATTTAAAAACATAAACCTATTATGTCAAGCAATTTTCATAAAAACCCGATTGTTTATACAAATGAATTTTTACCAGTTATTATATTGAAATATGTTGTTTTTTAAATTTAATTATTTTCAATTACATTACTTTGTAATTAACTTTTATCTTATTTCATGTTTATATATTTCTTTAAAAATAAAAACTTAAGTTGTTATCAAATAATCAAAAAATTAGTATCCAATTTTATATCAATATAGATGCTTATAAATATTTTAGACTACATTTAAAGTCCTAAATTTTTTTTAAAGAAAAATTCTAAATTTAATCAAGTGTAATAAAAATATTAATATTTTAAATTTTAAACATCAAGTTATTCTTTTTTAAATGTGTTTCAATTATTTAATTTATTTTTCTAATAGTTTTTTAGTTATTTGTAACTTACAAATTAAATAAAACTGCAAAATTTTCATTTTTAAACTATGATTTATTGTTTGACTAAAATATAATGCTAATAGAATTAAAAATAAAATAGAAGATAAATTTTATTCACTATATTTTTAAAATTCTTATTAAGCTTAATTTACAATTGTTCAGCTTAAAATCAATTTTTAAATAAGTACTAAGTAGTTTTTATGCATTTTACATGTATATTAGAGTAATGTAATTTATTCAAAAACATAAAATACAAAAATTAAAAAAAAACATAATATAATTATTTTTAGTAACTTACCTGTAAAAAAATTGTAGATTAATTCATTCTTGATCTGAAGCTGAGCAATAAATAAATCAGTTATAAGACGTGTTTTATATTTTTCTGTTTTGTTTGAACAAATTTCTCAGTACTTTTTTTTGAACAAAAAAAATACATTTGTTAACTAATTAACACAATTACAACTATTGTTATCAAAAATTAAGCCTATTCTGCTCAGAATTGTTTTTCATATAGAATATTAGTTATATCATTGAATTTAATTAAAATTTAGTTCATTCATTATAGTGATCCAATTAACAATGAAGTACTCTTAACATTTGACAACTTCTGTTGAGTAAAGTAGTTATCTACTTGCTTTGTTATTAAAATGATCATACTTTCCGATTATAGTTTTTATCGTTTTAGATCCAGACTAATGTTTTATTTATTATATACTTAGAAGATTAAAATTTTTAATGAGATTCCTTAAGTTTTTCAAAAATAATTAACTAAAATAAAATACAGACAGCTATAAAAAAATTATCTAGAATTGAATATACTTAAACATTATGTTAATACATTTTTAATATTGCACATTAGTATGAACTATTTTAATTATGTATTACTTTTATTGCTTCATGCTGTCTTATATGTCTACAATATTTATATCGTTTTTATTTTACAGCATTTAAAACCATTGAAGGAACTCAAGCATGGGGTCAAAAATTTATATTTTTCATTGGAAATTGCGTTAATATTGTTTTAGCGTTATATAAATGCCAGTCTATGGGTTTATTACCAACACATGCATCAGATTGGCTTGCATTTATCAATCAACCTACTAGAATGGAATATTCTGGAGGTGGTTTTGTTTTAAGTTAATCAAAAATGTAATTAAAGGAATTTATGAGCTATATTATGAAACTAAAATGACAAATTAACTGCCTCGTGTGGAAATTGTGATTATATTTCAAAATTTATTTTAGGTATAATGTGTATGTGTATTGAATCATTTAACAACATAGAATATTTTCGATAATTTTGTATAATTACCACATTTTTTTAAATTAAATTATTTACTCAAGAATTTTATAGTAGTATACAATTAATAATAATTAATAATGTAGCATGTGAAATATTTATGAATTCAAAAAACAGCTAAAATATAATAAAAACATAAGTCAAGGGTGCCTTTAAAAATATGCATTGCATAATTATTAATATTTTGATTCTTATGTTTTTTTTATTTTATATTACTATTATATTTGTGTAGAAATCAATTGATTTTTCATTGGTGTGGCCTTTATCTTAGTATTCAATTCACTTTTGTTAAATATGGTTTCATCCAATTTGGTTATCATTGATAAACATTACAAATATAATTATTTTGTAGTTAACTATTGTAAATTTGAACTATACATTTTTTTTTTTCATAAATAGACCAAAGCTTAAAAGGTTAAATATATTCATACATTTATAAGTATTAAGTACATATTTAATTGGGTATAATATAAAGGGCACTAGGTATAAATTTTTGGTTAGTTAGTTTTTGCATTTTTTATCTATTAATAGTTGATAAAAATTCAAAAACAATAACAAGGATAACCTGCATAACAAAGGTCAAAAAACAAAAAAAGTACAAGCACATTTTTCAATAATAAAATCTATCTATGTAACAAATAATTTATTTGCTCAATACTTATACATTATTTCATATTGAAAATATTTATGTATTTCTACTGAGGAAATAACTATCAAGTTATATTTACAATATAAGTATTAATAACATAATTTATGTTAAATTTTAAAGTAATTTAGGGTTTGGGTTTCATTATTTCATCTAAATATTTTTTCATTTTGTCTATAATTACTCCAGGATCATCAACTTTGGCTACCTGTGGCGTTTAAAAAATTAAACATCAACAATAAAATAAAAGAATCATAGAAAAAAATATAAAGCTTACTTCATAGTTTTGTGCTGCATATAATCCTGTGTAGACACCCAAACCAAAAGAAACCTATAATGTATAAATTAACAAATTAAATAGATAAAATTATAAACATATTCAATATAATATATATTAGTTCAGACATTAAATTAAAGAAACCACAGAAACAAATATTTTTTTATTTATTATATTGACAAACTATACACAATAATATTTAATAAATAATAATCATAATTATCTATACTATTAAACATAGATGAGACATTTCTATAATTGTATGTTTTAATTATCGATTTACCATCAGGGTTAACATTGCAAACCTTGGGCTAAATAAAGTATAAAATAGTTACTTTGAACAATTATCAAAATCAAATAATCTTAAGGCTGTTTTTAACCATTAAAAAAAATAAACAAATAAAAAATAAAGTATGGTCTAACTTTTTTATTTTAATTAAAAAAAAATAATGATAATGATTTATAAAATATATAATTTATGTCCTTAATCAACAGTTATAGTAGTTAAATAAGTTAACTACAATCAAATATGCAATTATAACCTTAGTATAATAATATTCTAAATAGTGAATTGAATTTAAAATGTTAAGTCTCAATATTCCAGTTATTATACTATTCTCAAGAAAGTAAAGAAACTTTATTTCTAATTTGTGTAACATTTATAAATAAATATTAGTTCTATAAAATGTTCTAGATTATTAAATATGAAGTATACTACTATATTAACTCAACGACAAACTTCATCTTCTGTGTCAGATCTTAATATCAAGAAATATAACACTATATTCTGTCCTGCAAACATGTGGCAAATCAACAAAAAACAGTTGTTTAATATATCTCAATGCAACATTTTGCTAGAGTAGAATAGGTCTTAATGGCTAGTTGTAGTGAGGGGATGCTTAGAATTGTTATGTTTATTTGCTGGATAGAGTATACTGATCAAGCGATTACTATAAAAATTAATGCTATAACCCATTTGGTTAAAGCCTCATTCTACATTTCCAATAATAATTTAATATTCTTCAATCAGTTTTAATAAAAAAAAAAAAATAACCCACTATCTACTGTCATTAAAATGTCAAAGCTTCGTTATAAACAATTCAATAACCAACTAACTGACTATCCCAACCATTTTATCAACCAATTCTCATCTGAAAATATTCTAGAAAATACTCAAAAAAAGCTAGAATGACACTAGTGGTGTGACCTGTTTCATTTAATTCTAACAAAATGTAAATCATTATTAATTATATATTTAATTTAACTAATATTTTTTAATGAAGAGCCATCATTGGAAGGCCTCTTTATTGTTTTTATATTAATATTTACTTATTTATTAAATCAATTAAGCTTATTATTCAGCTGTACAACAAATAGCCAGATGACTAATAATAAATAAGAAAAGACTTGTCAATAATTATTATAATAAAAAAAAAACAAAGCCAACAACGGCACACTACAATTTTACAAATAAACCACATGACAAAAACCAGCATCTTAAAAGTATCAATATTTTTCTAAGTATATTTCCTAATGAACAACAAATTTTCCTTCATAACAGATTTACCCAAAGACAAACAATTTAAAACAATTCAAAAAATAATGATTTAAAAAAAAATAAATATTTTGTTATTGCCTAAATAATTTTAGTGTTTATTAATTGAAGTTTTTCAATAGCATAAAAAATATGTATTTATAAAAAGTCTACTTAAAAAAAAAAACTTATATAAAATAAATTTTTTTCTTAAAATATCAGTAAAAATATGTAATGGATTTATTTTTATACTTACTATTGTAGATAACATGCCCATATTATTGAGAAGAAGTATTACTTTCTAAAAACAAAATGAAAAAAGAAAAATTATTTTAGGTAATATAATTAATATACTGACGTTATGGTATAAAGCTGTAATAGTAGTATTCTACTAATATTCAGGGCTGACACAAAAGGAATTTTAGGTGTTAAACTAAGTTTTACACAATACTAAATTAACAAAAATTATTTTAATAGTTTAAATTAAATCCTATTATATTTTTTTTAGATTTTGAGCGTAGAAATGAAATTATTAATTTTACAATAATGTGTTTATTTTTATCTATATATGTTATGGGCAATGTGAAATTGTGAACCACAATAAACTTTTTTTTTTTAACCAACTAATATTATTTTTATTTTAATAATAAATTATAATCAACAAATCTATTTATAATAATTAATAGTATTGTTTTTTTTTGAAAAACAATGATTATGAATTTTACTCATATATCATAATATTACAAATACTTTAATGAAATAACAAAAAAAAAAAAAAATGAACAAATATTTTAATTTTTATTATAAATTATATTATACCTACTTATTTGAATAAGATTTAGAAGCATGACATTTGGAATTACATAGTCTGTCAGCTTTTCTACACTTGCATTTATTTATTTTGCAACCCTGTGTACATGTACACCGCACAGATAATATCCCTGTCCTCCTAAATTAAAAAGGGAGCGGGCTACTTCTCGCAAAGAAATTGAATTAGCCGGTATGTCTTCGATTTATACAAATTTTTCTTAGCAAATTGTAAATTGGTTCCTACTGTACTGCTATTGCAGTTTTTATCATTTTAATCAATGTTATGTAATAATAATAATTATTATTATTGTTTTAAAATATTTGTAATATGATAAGATTTAATACAGTTAATAGTAATTGTTTAAAAAAAAAAAATAAAATAACAATTTATTTATATGTATATTAGTTATTATTATATATTCTATAAATATATATATGTTACGGTAAATTATGTTATATCAGAAATTAACGTTATTTACTTACAAATGTGGGAATTATCATTATTTAACATCATTTACCGTAACATATAATATATATATTTAACTACTTATAAATTATTATAAATAGGTAATAATAAAATTATAATTTATAATAACAATAAAAATAATATTAGTTGGTTAAAAAAAAGAAATATGTGGTTCTCAGTTTTACATTGGCCAGGCAGGACTACATTGCCTATAAAATATATATGTTTATACCATAATTATTGTAAAAAAATGGTTTAATTTCTATTATTTAAAGTGGTTTTGGATAGCAAATTGTAGTTAAAAATTTTAAGTTTCCAGTATTTTTCAAAATAATGGGGAAAAAACAAACAAAATAATTAAAGAAAAATGGTAATTTTAACGCTCAACCAGTTTTTTACAAAATTGATTTCTTTATTTTGTTGTTATTCAGAAAAAAGTAATTATAGAAGTCAAAAATTTTTACCAAAGTTTAAACCAGTGGCGTACCCAGGATTTTAGTACTGTAGGTCTGTCTTATTTACGAGAGGCCACGGAATAGAAACTTTAACCAACTATGTGTTACAAAGTAGTTTTTAAAATATTTAACTCTTTAGGATTTAGTTAGTTTTGGATATTTGACATTTTTTTTAGTTTTATTTCTATACTATTATTCATTAAAATATTTTCATTTTGTCAAAAACTTTGAAAATGTATTACAAGATCCTATATAAATTGTTTTTATAGATGTTTAAAATTTAAACTTTATCATAACTAGGAATATTCATAAATTATTTTGAAGCTGACATTTTATAAAATGGTAATTTTTATAAAAAGTAAAATAAATTACTTTATACAATAGCAATATTAAAATATACTTTATGATATAAACTGATAAACCATTTCCACTTAGAATCTTTTTTCATAATAACGATTAACAAATAACAATATACCATTAAATTTAAAAGAAATACATTCTTTACAATGACCCATTTAACACCTATTGTACAAAAAAAACAGTACTCACATTTATCATGATGTATTCAAATAGGTATTAAGAAAACAATAAATTTATACATACACTCCAAGACATACACTAATCAAACTATTATTTTGTATATAATCAATCCTTGAGGCAGTTGTCAAAGATGTAAAAAATGTATTAAAATAAAAATAAACTGTGACTGTGTAATAATATTACATTTTTTGATTACTTACTAAATAAATTAGGAAACTATGTCATAACTAACCATTTTGATAACAATTTATATAAGTATTTTAGTTTTCACTAAGCTAAATATTTGTTATCGAGATAATAAGATATTCTTATGGAGGAATTAAATAATAGTAGCATTGTAATTTAATTTTTACTAGGCCGCATAATTTTAGTGCTAGCTTTGAATCTATTAGTAAATAATATTTAAAACATAATGATAAAATAACACTTACTTTTAAACGTAGTTGCGATGGTGTCGTATGATACAACACAATTTCACAGTTCACTGTAGACAGTTAGTGGCTAATAACAATTCAAAACTTAAAATGGAACTATGGTACCAACAATAACGAAGTACACATGTAACGAAGAGACATTCGAGGAATGAAAAAAATTATAATAATTATCTGTCTTATTAGTCCGGTTATCAAGACACAGCGGGCAATCGCTAATCGGGACAATGATATTGATTAAAATACTATTATCACTAAAAATTATTTTATCTACCAAGGTATGGCGATTATTACCACCAAACCTATGATTTTAAATTTATTGTATTTGTTTTCATTATCGTCATGTTTAGGACGGATGTGATTTTGTATTTGATATATTATTATGCCCCTTGTTTTGTCACCGACTATCTCATTTTTACCCTCCACTCAACCATATTGTAATGGTTTGATATTCATAAAAAATAATTACGAATTAAATAAAAAGGAATAGTGTCCAAAGAAGTGTGTAACTCGTAACTATTGAAGTCAAGTACAAAAAAATGATGAACAAATATTTTTTTTTCAGCATTATCATAGAAGAGACTTAAAACTATTGTTGTGCTTTCATAACAGTTGATTACGTGACGAAATTCCATAATGTATAAATGTGGAATACATTCTATTGTACATGTTACTGCACCATCAATTGAATTAGCAAAAGGCTTAGCTCGGTGAGTCAAATAATAAAAATAAATTGAAAATATCTATTTTCTATGTAAATTAAATAAATAAATCATTTGGGTACATAACTATTTTGATTAAATATTAAAAAAAATATTTATATGCTTAACTGTTTATTATAATTTTAAAATTTTACTGATTTATTTTTATAGCTCATTTTTTTGTCATACTTATCAGTATAATATAATATAATATAATTTTAAATGTATTCGATGTTATTATTTTAATATGAATCTAATTGCATAATTTATTCATTATTTTAAAATTAGTTTTCATTTATAGTGGTTAATATTATAAGTATACTTTTCCATTAACTTCAATATTCCATTGTACATTATATTTTACAATATTTATATTTTTATGGATGTTATGATTATGTAAAATATTACATGATTTGCTCTAATACTATATAAAATATGGTTGATTCTGTTGAATGCAAATTTGCACGCATTTTAGAGAGAGAAAAAAAATAATAAGCTAACATCCTCTTAGTAATATAATAGAAACATTAAACAATAGTAAGACAATTAGATTACTATTTAAACTTAAGGAAGATTAATCTTAAATGGTTCACTCTAAAAGTTTATTTATTAAATTGTTTAGTTAACTCCAAATATATAATATTTTATAATATACATAGGATTAAAAAAATATTTGGAATATGATATTTATATCAATACTTATGAGTAAGATTAAGTTTAAAATGTTATAAAATAAAAAAATATTTCTATCAATATATATATGGTCACGCATTGCTGTGGTTGTTGTGTTCCGTTGAATTAATGCTATACTTAACTATTTATAAAGTTCTTAATTGATAACATGAAAATTTAATTTTAAAAATGAAGTAGATGATGTTCATTTTTAATAGTTTTTAAAAATAATTTTTATTATTTTAAATTATAAAAATTTATATTATTATTAATTAGTACCTTTAGAGTTATAATTTTAATTATAACACAACATCAGACGCTCTATCCAAAAATTAAACCGATTATTATTTTCTTCTCTCTCTCTCATATATCTCTCTTATATATAATTGAGATATAAACTATCCTATATATTAAGTTGGATCAAATCACACACATGGGTAAATCAAAATCGGTTGTGTACTTTTAAAGCATATTGCACATAAATTTGTATACTTAATCTTAATATTATATAAAGATTGGAGTATAGATAGTGAAACAAAAATTATATTTAAACACTCAACAATAAAAATAACAATTTACAATTAAAGAAGTTTATAATTGTCTATAGATTTCAATTGGTAGTGTGTTTAAACTTACTAAATGGGATATTTATTTGGATTTAAAAACTTTGTTATTTTGAAATATTAAATTCTAAAAAGAGTAATTATTGATAAATATTCTATATTTTATTTTAATATTTATATTACTAAAGATTATCTTTACAAATAGATATGTATATAATTAATTTTATTTTTTGAAATTTATAAAATTACATAATCAAATAAAAAAAAAATGTTATATAAATTATTGTTTAGTATAAAAAGTTAATTTTTATAAATTTTTATTACAGTGGTATAATAACAAAGGATCTTGCAGCTTGTGTAAACTTGATCCCTAATGTAACGTCAATTTATAAATGGAAAGGTGAAGTAATTGAAGACTCTGAAATACTAATGGTAAAAAACATTATATATATTACATAGTAAATTAATTAATTTTAGTATTTAAATTGTCAAAAATGAAAAGCATTCTGAAAATATATATTTATATTTCATTATAAAATTTATAACTGATTTTAACGAGTCTTGGTGAATTAAAATTCTAGTATACCTTGCACTTTTTTTTTTTTATTAATGGTTAGTGAAGTTAATGTAATTTTATCCATTTGTATTTTGTATAAAAATATAACCTAAATTAATTTCATTAAATTGTATAAGTTATAATATATTTGTTGACATCATTTGCGTGTTTATCAATTATCACATCATAAAGTAATAACAAATTTATAATAATCTCAATCATTAATATATCTAGCTATTTTTAATATGTTATTATTCATTACTAATTACTAAATATTAATAATTTTATTTGGTTTATGTATAGATTATTAAAACACGAACTTCAAGAATAGAAGATTTGACTAATTATGTTAAGTAAGTACTGTTTTCTTGGTAGCCAAAGAAAATTTAATTGTGTATGATGTCTTTACACGAGTAGCAAAAACAGTTAAATAATATTATAATAATTTATGAAAATTAAATAGATCATTTATGGGTTACTAGTTTTTGGTTTAAAAGAAGATCCACGATAATGCAATCTATCTAATCTGATGTATGTGATATATTAATATATTTATTTAAAATTCAAAAGAAATTATTAACTGATCAGACTATTTACTAAAACTATTTATAACAAAATAAAGTATTAATTTACAAAATAAATTAAACCTATGCAGATTAAACTTAAATTTAGTATAATATAATATTATGAAATTTACGTTCATACAAATTTAATTTTTTTTATAATGTATGAAACATAACTACAAATAATCTTTGAAAGTATTTTTTTACATATCATCAAAGCAGTCTAAATATTTAAATTATAATTTTAACTATTTGAATAAGAATGAAATTGTTAAATTATTATTATTTTAATCTTAAATAGTTGAAAATAACTACACACTGATTATTTTTAATTTAAATAGAAAAATCATTAAAAATATTATATCTAGTCTAATTATAATTTCCAAAAAAAATTGTGGGATAACTTTTGGCTAATAAACAAATATGGTTAATAGATTATAAGAATTAACTTAATATAGCTTATCCTTAAATAAATAACAAATAATTTAATACTTCATACTAAGAAAAAAATATTTATCATTGCTAAAAATATAGAAAACTTATAAATAAGAATCTATCACATAAATACAATTATTTTAAGTTTGTATTATTTTATTATTTAAATTAATTGTAATTTTTCATAAATATACAAAAATCTAACATTTAAAGCTGTTTTTATTTTACATGTTTAAGTGTTGATTTTGGTATTTAGCTGTTTCATTGGATTTGTTACTATTGTACAAACACTAAATTTTATTGATTAAGTTTTAAAAACTAATACATTTTTAGGTCCGCACACCCATATGAAGTCTGTGAAGTAATTTCTACTAAAGTTAGTATTCTATTACAGTTACTGTTACTTGTAGAGTTTTTAATCAAAATGAATATAATTAATAAATAATTAACTTTATGTTATTTGGCATTATTTATATCAATATCATTATAAAACAATATAGTTTTTTTTAGGTATATTTAGTAAATACTAAACATTATTTATTTTTTACAGATAGAAAATGGAAATATTCCTTACTTAGAGTGGATATCAAAATGTGTACCAGAAACTTCTAAAGATTTAACTATTGATAATAACACGACTAATTTGTCTGAAACCAAAAAATAAAATAATATGTTAAATCTTGACTGCATTATCATTGAATACATTTTGAAATAAGCTAAACTTCTAATAGTATTGTAATTAAATTAAAAATTATTTATTTTTATTTCTGAGCTTACAAAATATTTTATTAATAAATAATAAATAAAATGGTATTACAATATATAAGAAGTGTATATTGAATTGTAACATATTTAATTAAAAACATTTTTTTAATTTGTGTTAAAAATTTTCAATATTATTGAGGTATATTACCATTAATATATAATAAATATTGAAACAATTTGATAATATTTAATTAAAAACATTGTCTAATTTCCTATTAAAATGTTATATTATTTATTTATATATAGGATTTAAAATTATTTCTGAATCTGTAAATCTAAATTTTAAGTCTGAGATAATTCTTAAATTATTGATATTTTAAATTATTATATATCTAAATTATATAATATAATGTAGTCTATAGTAAATTCATCATTTTCATCAAAATACATGATTTACATTTTTTTAATATCAATTAAATGTTAACACTATAATTTTATGTATAGGAATAAAAAACTAAAAATATTTTAGAAGTAACATCCATTTCAAATTAGGATGTTAGGTGTCTTTAAAATAAATAGTGTGATTTCATTTATAAATCAAGTGTTTTATACAAAGATAAATCAATTTAATATTAAACAAAATATAACTGCTTTTCTAAAAATCAAACAGAATTAAATATTGTTAACTTTTTTTTTTTTTAATAATGATTTTAAGAAGCTCTCAAATTCATACTTTCATAGAACTGAAATAATATGTTTATAAAAAAATGTCGATAAACTGTAATTAATAAACAAATAAGTAACATGTTTCAATGTCTATTAACATTTTGAGTTACTGTTATTTATAAATTATTTTAATTATTATAGAATATAAATTTTTTTAAATTCAATAGTTTTATATAAGTTATAGTCATTATTAAGAACACAATTTTCATCAAATTGTAAAATTTTATAACAAATCATAATTTTAAACTAGCTCTAAATGCTTTAAAACCTAGAATATTTTGAACTACAATTATTTATTATACCATTAAAATATAAAATGTTAAAACCTTGATAATTGGCATTTTGAATAAAAATGTATGAACCATTTTAGTTCAATAAACAATCAATACTGTTTAAGAACTGATCTCTAAAAAAATATTTGGTTCTCTGTTTTAAAAGTACCAAAATGTTCTATTATCAATTTATAAATCCTAACAGTTCAAATAGTAAATATAAATAATTAATAGTAGTAAGTACTAGATAGAATTTGCCCCGGTTCAACCATATGTAACAAAAAAAGTATGTAAGTCTTTGACAAGGTTATCAATTTATCATACTAACTATCTACTTCATGGCTTCATTAGTGAAAAGAAAATATTTTTAATAATGATTAATAACAATGCATACATATTATACAGCCCATGAGGGAGCGAATGTCCTCATTGTCTCTCTCCACCAGGTATGCCACTGGTTAGAAAATTATAAGTAGTTAATATAAGTTATTAAAGGTACAAGTATTAAACAATAAAAAAACTGTACTTCATTTTAACTTAAAAATAGGTACTTCATATTAAAGCTAATTGTAAATGATACTTATAAGTTATAACTGATAAACTGTATTGTCTGTACCTAATATCTATATACTATATACATATAATTTCAAAAATTTTACATAAAATAGTCTAGTCAGACTTGGTATAACAAAAAATAATAAAATTACATTAGAATATATAGCACTAAATACCAATTGACAATGTTTAATAAAATTGTACTGTGTATATATTATGGTCAATAAGTAAATCATAAATTTAATTACTACAGAAATAGAAGGAAAAAATAGCTGAAAATAAAAACGAAGGTACCGATGATTAGATGGATATAGCTTACGTTTATTTATATTAATTTTTATAAGTACTTATTGAAATGTTTATCTAAAAAGTGATGTATGTGAATAAAATATAATGGCTTAAAATAATATTGCAACAAAAATACACAGGTATTAGGATTCAAGTAAATAGATAGGTACTAATAATTACGTATAACGTTATTTTAAAATAACTGCAATTTTTTTCCCAGTCTTTTCAATTTTATGTTTTTAAAAAATATGTAAAAATTACTTTTATATAGCTGCTAAATAGGTAGGTAGGTGTGGTTGCGTTATCACTTATCATCATATTAATATCATTGGTAACGAGTGATCGTATAAGTGTGCGTTGGAAGTTGTGCACCAGCAACCATTAACGCACCAGTGGAAGTGACGATGGTAGCAGCTCTTTAACGCGGTCATAGTGTTTTGTTTTGTTTGACGCTACTGTTACCGCCGCCGACGCCGTTATCAGCGTCGTACCTCTCAAACGGTTTTTGACGTTTTCCGCTGATAGTCGTCGCAGTGGCATTCCGTAAACGCTTCGTGCCACAGAACGCAGCTTTCCGAAATGTCGTAGGCGACATTGTTGCACGTCCTGGTGTTGCAGTCGCAGTCGCAGTCGCAATCAGTTCGCCGTCCACACGATCTTAGCCCACAATTCGTCTTGTGTCGCAGTTGTTTGCGGTGTTCGCGAACGTTCATCTGGAGAAGATTGTATAGGTCTGCAAGAGCTCCGGTACTACGGGTACTTATATACTTACTACTTATGCACTTTTGTACTTTTGGACTTATACCGTGTTTAATACATCCGGCTCATAGTTTAGTTTAAATGTCATTCTGCATAGTCAATTATTTAAGTTCTATACTTTACAGACAACTTTTATTCATTTCACTGTGTGCAATGCTGTGCATTGTACATTTGTCTCGTATGGTTTTCTAAACAAAATACCTATCGTATCTACTTGCAATCTAAATCCACTGAATTTTTTTTACTGAGACAGGTTTAAGCATTATCTCATCCTTCGTAGTGTTATTTGGGAAGGGAGTAAAATTCAAAGGCACAAAACACTAATAAGTGTACATCTACTAGTAGGCGTAACACTATTAATGTATAATATAGATCACATATTAAAATAAAAACACAACGAGACAAACATTTTAACGATTACAAATTTGTTTAGTTCACTATTATATGAAATATACATAAGTTAGTAACCAATATTACATAAAAAAACACTTTGTTTTACATAATTATAACTATATTCAATGCTACTTCTATATCTAAAATGTTATGTGTGTTTTTTTATCAAAGTTTTAAACATAACTTGTAAAAACAAAACATAGGTACTTATTTTAAATCTATAAACGATCTGTTGTACAATGACTGTCAAATGTATAGCAAATAAATAATCTCATATATTAATTTACTGTGTTCAAATATTTTGATTAGAATTTGATACCAAGTACTGACTAAATATTTTTGTATTAGTTTATGTTAAATATAAAAGTTATTTTTAAAATTCTATAAAAAATGTAGAAATATTAATGTATTTACTCAAACAATTTGAGGGGCATCAAATAATGAAGCTTCCCTCATGTTACTCCTATAGTGACATAAAACTTATTCTATCTAATATCGAGTCTACGGTATGGAGTATAGACTTCACACATATTAAAAAAACCCAATATATTTTCTCTTCACTAATAAAAAAATCTAAATTTTTTCAAGACAATTTTAATTTTAATTTTGATGTCTTTACATGGATCATCCGAATGAATGCATACAATTTGCCCCTGACGTAATCAATTAAGTGACTATTACAGTTATAATAGTACGAACTGACAATTTAAAATTTTTCAATACTGACTATAACATAGAATAGGTAGGGAAATATTTATAAAGCATTTATGTTGAACAAATTCAAATTGTACACAAAATATGGCTGAATTTGTATTAACATGTCATAAAACTTTTGCTTGAACATTGTACCATGAAAATAGTGTTTTAACTTCTTTATCAATAATAATAATTAAAAAACATACAAAATACAAATTTAACAACTTTAAGACCTAATTTATTATAATTTAATAATATTGGTCATTGAGTAAGCTACATGCAGAATATAACCAAGTTTATTTATATACAGTTAACAAAATTACTTTTAGTTAATGAATGAATTCTAATTAGCTTAGTTTAATTTAAAGTTAATAGGTCAGATATTAATAAATAATAATTAATAACAATTAAGTTGGATTACATATATTATGGACCAAATTATATATTGTGTATATCTTATAATATTGTCTTCTTTACTAGTTAATTTCATACTATTTCATAATATATACCTTATCAGCTACTATAAATCTGATATAAATTAGGCAACTCACATTTTTAAGAGACATAAAACTAAAAATTTGAATTTTTGTAAAGTGAATGTTTAATAATTCTATGATAAAGTAATAATTTTTATTTAAAATCATAACTAAAATGATATTGCCAGAAATTAACACTTAAAGATATAATTTATTATGTTACAACTTATAAATATTGATTCGTTATTTTAGTCGAAATTCTCAAAGATATATTAATATTATGAAATTTATCATTGTTTAGTAAATTTACTTACAAGTCATTACTTGTTACAAATAATTTGCATCAAAATACTACATTACTAAAAAATAGTTATCACTAGTTATATTTTTTGACAGTACTAAGTAATAATATATTATAATTTATGTAAATAATAATTTAAAAAGAACATTGTAGTAGTACTTATTAGAAGAAATAAGATAACAACAGAAATAAAATAAATATTTATGTGTAAACTATAATTTATGCAAGTTAAGAACTGTACTTGGTAGCCAACTTATTCATATGGACATCACTAACTCAGTGAAAATGATAAATTTGTGATGCCTGACAAAAGCTGGTATATACAGAGTTTGATTCTCAACTCACATAAAGTATAGATAGAGTTAAGACTAATATTATTTTTTTAATTATTGCTAAAATTACTATGAAATAAAAGATGTATAATATTATTTATAGATTTTAACTATGGATAACACTTGTACGTATTGTCAGGATGTCATAGACAGTTTAACCGTAGTATGTTTGGAATGTTCATATTTTCAATTATGTTTGGCCGTAAGTATTTTATAACTTCTTAATCATACATTTAAAAGAACACTGCCTACACGTGTTATCTCTCTATTTTGTAAATATACTACCAATAGCAATTTTCAGCAGAATCAATTTAGTGTTATTAACTTTAATATCAGAATTAATTGTCTTGTTATCAAACTTAAAATCAAAGAATATTATCAAGAGCACTATAAAAAGTTCTATGAATATTTTAATTTTTTTTTTTTTTAACACTAAATTAAAAATCTTGATGCCGCTTTTTTACAACTGTAAACAAAATATATTTATAAAAATTAAACAATTTAAAGATTTTGGATTTATATAGATGTAATTTAAGTCTGTAGCTGAAAATGTTTTGGTTTATTGATTTAAAATAAACAAATGCATACATTTCTGGGTCATACTTAAAATTGTATGAAATATTAAAATTTTAAAATGTTAATATTAATAAAAGCTAATATAAAAAATTATAAAGGATAACATTTATACCTTCAAATTTAACACCATTTTTATGATGAAACCTATAATACAAAGTTTGATTTCAGATTTGTTATGTTGTACATTTTTAAGACTAAGATACCATATTCGGGTTTAGTGTTCTTTTAATTGAAGTATTTACATGATAATTAATTTATCTTAAAAATTACTTTATTAAGCTACTTTTTATTATACATAATATGCATATAATTGTATGATAATAAGTTTTTTATTTTAGTGTTATAGCCATGGAGCAGAGATTGGTGATCATAAAAATAACCATGGATACAAGTTAAAAGTAATTTTTAATTTTAAATATCTGTTTAATTTATCTCTTAAAATTAGTTAGTTACCAGTATTATTATTTAAATCAATAAAATATTTATGCCATATGTTTAGTTATTGTTAGATATCATAATAGTTAGATATAGTAATAGTTATATTATTAGTTATATATGTTAGTAAGTTAAATATGCTGTTTAATTAATTACTAATCAGTCATTATAAATTATGATATAACAATAAATACTTTTCTCCTCCTCTTCCTCCTTATCATTCCACTCACTCAATTAAATGATTTTTATGCCTTAATAATTTAAATAATTCATTTATAAAATATGTTTAATTTTTTAATTGTAAAAGTCAACATGCTTCAATATATTACATTTTTTATCATTCACATAGCTCAATATTGGCATTAGTGCTTCTTCTTTTATATGATTGTTTTGTATGAAAGAAAACTATTTATTATTTCATTAATTGATTAGATTACTGCTTTTTATATTATTTATTGTTATTTATTACCCAATTTTGGTGGGGAATGTTTTAAAAATTTTTTTATTTTATAGGACATTTGGTATACTCCACTGCTATATTATGATTTTCTTTATTTTTTTTGTCTTAACAGCAATGCAAGTGTAAGCAATTATTTATGTACTGCAATATTTGAGAATACTTTAATAATGATTTATATATTTTTATTAAAAAAAACATGTAAACAAAAATTTTTCAAAGAAAATGATAAATTTAACACAAAATAAAAACTTTTTTTCTTATTTATATACCAAAAATATATAAACTTTGGTAAACAATGTAAAAGTATGTTGAAATCCCAGCTCTAATTATATTATATTATTGGTTCTATTTTTTTTACAATGTATAATATTATATTTTAATTATTTGGAGGAAGATTGTCCCATATATTTCCTTGTGTATAACTGCAAAATATACTTTAACTAATCTATATTAAAAATAAAACTGTTGCTGACTAAGATAATTATTACTGTTAAGAAAAACAAATTATCAATATTAAAATACTATTTATAGTTTTAAAAAATCTTAAAATCCTTACTTACTCTACAATAATAATTTTTTATTTATAAATATAAATTCTAATTACAATAAAATAGTGATAAAGTAGATAAACAGATTAACTGCTATTAAGTATCTAAATAAATGTATAAGGATTATATAATTATTAAGCATACAAATTTAAAAATAGATAATGATATTTAATACATACTATTTAAATTAGTTAAAAGCTAGATAAGACAAAACAATGAGTTAAAATAAAATAGTAATTTTGAATAGAGGTTTTAGACAAATTATATTATGTAGTATTAAATAAAACTATATTATTTAAGTTTTCCGTAAAAATAAGAATGTTTGCAGGAGTGTATAACACATTAAATATTGTCCTGATAAAGAGAAGATCAAATATTGATTTATTTCTACATTTAATTGATCTATCATGAAATTTAAGATGACATGAAAGTTTAAAATTAGAAAAAAACCTGTAGGTCCTTATACAATAAATATAAGTTATTTAATGTTTAATCAAAAAGTAACATTTTTTTTTTTTTTTAGAAAAAATGAAATAATTGCACACCTATTAATATTCATTATTCAGGTACATAATTCTTGACCATTGGTAAAGATTATTAAAAAATCAACCACCTATAATTGTTTGCATTATCAGAAAATTCAATATTTTTATATACTTAAATATTGTCTGCAAGTAAAAGGCATTTCAAATATTTTAAAGCTTTATTAATATCATTTATGAATAGAGAATAAAGTAATACTAATAAATGATCATTTCGGGGAACACTAAGTAAAACATGGAATCAACAAGAAACATAATTTTCATGTTTTACAGCTTTGGTCTGATTAAAAAAAAAAATAAATAAATAGATTATGGAAATCATAAGATTTATGTTAAGCAATTAATGAAGAATGGTTAAGCCTATCAAATTCTTTAATGCAATATGAACTTCATAAATTTGAGTATTATTATAAAATGAATCAAAAATTAATTGTTTATTATATTCAAATTAGTTACTAGTGAACATCATAGGTGAAAACCATATTGTACATTTGAAAAGACTTGCTCACAAAAAGTGAAAATGCTATTGTTTACTAATTTAAAAAATATTTTAAGAATAATTTAAATTGTTGTTATATCTTGATTATAAATTGGTTATTAATAATTTATGATTTGTCATTTTTTTTTTATTTTTTTTTTTTTTTTTTTAATGTAGGAGTTGAGTATGAAAATTTCCATCTGTCAAGAAAAAAGACTTGTTTTTGATGATTTTTCAGTAAAAAACTTATAATAAATGATTATATAAAAGAACATTCTTCTAAACATTTTGTAAAAATACTACCACGACCTAAGGGCTGTTTTGAATTAATAAACCAAAATTCATCAAAAATATTTTAGAAATATTTATAAAGTTAAACCAAATAAAGTAATTTACAATTTATCAGTATTAATAATATTATTATAATTAAACATACTGGATTTATTTGGATTTAAAAAATGAGACTTACCAATATTAATAATAAATTTAATAAATTAATAAGATCAACACCAGAGAAAGCTTCCTCTTTATGTTATGATATAGAACTCGCTACCATTTTTTAAAATTATAGAAGTTTCTAAAATATTTCAAGTGGATTTATTTTAATTGAATTTTAATGTTATTGTTAAATAACATTAAATTATATTAATTAATTAAATAATATATTTAATATCATAAAATTTGATTGTTCTGCATTTAGTTCAAAATTTGGATAAATGTATGAATGATTTGAGAGATTTTATGGTGTTAAAAATAAAATGAGATTGTTATTATTGTCTAATTAATATTTTTAACTTTTTATTAAACCAAATTAGATAAGTTAATTATGTCAGCAAAAATATGCCCTTTTGGTTTAAATTTATATATCACAAAATAAATGCGTGATTATAAACAATCTATATCATCATTAATATTATAATTATAATTAAACATATTCAGTCAATTTATTGTCATATATAAATATATTCAAGAGTATTCCATTTAAAAATTTAACATCAAATCGTTAATCTACAGAGAATGTACAATTTAAAGTAAAGTGTATTTACAGGCATAGTAGAATAAATTTTTTTTCAACATTAATGTATAAAGAATTTTGATTTATTATAATTTAAGATTACTTATATGATTATATTGAAAAAACAATTGAAGTAGAATAATTTATCATTATAATAAGATTTGGAGTTTGGAAAGTTGGCTAATATAGATAGTAATCACTAAGCAATAAACAGTTAGTATTTAGGTTTTTGTTATATAGTTTAGTAATATATATAATTAAAATAATTAGACACTACAATATTTGAAAGCTTTCTTATCATTCTAACTTATTTCTTGATAAAAAATCCTGAATTTATATTTAAATTAAATAACTATTTTTAAGGGTCAAAAATCTCCTGGACAGTATTTAGTTACTATAGATGGATGGACTGGTGATGAACTCATGCATATTTTAGACTTTGCTGAACAATATTCTTTTGGATGCTGGGATGAGTTACCCAAAAATATAATAAATCGAACTCAATCAGGTAAGAAGTAATATTTTTTAGTGTTTTTACTAAATTGTTATTTGCATTTAAGCTAAGAATTTTAAGAAAAATAATTTTTTTAATTTAAATAGAAATCAAATTACAATTTGCTAAATATTTCTTGGATGGTACAATTGGAAGGCTGACATGGGGTACAATCAAGAAACCACAATTAGAAGATCGTACAGTCCATTTTAAACTAAATGAAAGTATTACTCATTTGTCTGGATTATCTAAAGCTCAGTATGCTGAAATTGGATATAATCCTATAAGAGATGAATTTGAGTTGGTATGTATGCACTATGCCTGTTAACGTTATTATTTTTAAATTTGTTTGTTAATATAATGTATTTACATTAGGAAAATGATTTCGATAATAATGCAGAGGCAGTGTTAAGTATAACATCAGAATGGAATGATTTTGGAGATGGTAAATATTAATTATATTGTCATTATGGACATACTTATATTTACTATTTTATACAGAAATCAATGGTTAAACTAACATTTATAATTATAATTATTAAATAAATATTACAGATTATAATCTTGCATGTATCGATATGTATTGTGGACGTTTACATGAACGCGAGTACGCTAAAGAAGTTGTTCATGATTATCAATTGATGGATAAATATTTTTTCTCTAAAGATAAACCCAAACGTAGATTAACACCAGAAGAGCGGTATGTTGTTTTCATTATTAATAAAATTATTTTCTACTTTTATTCATTTATAGAAGTATAATAAGCATTGAAAATCAAATAAGAAAATTTAGCCGATATTTAACTGAAGTTGAACTATGGTCATTAAATATACGGCTGCAACAAGAATATTTGTTAAAAAAACGGCGTGAAGAACTAATATATTACAGAAAAAATGGAATTACAAAATTATACGACATTGTAAAATTTAATCTTTTACATTATAGTATGGTTGTAGATGGTATATACATATACTTCATTATTTCCTTAATTATTATATTCATTCTTTAATTGTTTTTACTCTTAACTTATAGAACAATCCGAACAATCCTCTTCTGATGTTTTAACACCAGCGCCTATCAAACGTGGTGAAAAGAAAAGGATAAATACTATACTTATTTTGTATTTTATTTTAAAAACTATTTTAATTTATACTCAATAAACAGAAACTTTAGTAAGCCATTTGCTTATATATTTTTGGTCATATAATCATTTTTTTACTGAAACTTCAATTTTATCAGTGTAATATTATATATTTGGCTCAGATTTTAAAGCACTAATATTCAAATATCTCTTAAAAAAGTATATATTTTTTTATAATAAAATTAACTATAAACACTGATTTTACATTAATTAACATGAAAATTAAAAATAAATAAATAATGTAATATTTACATGTACATTGTATATTTTAAACATAAAATTTTGTCAATTAAAAGATGTTTTATAGCACTTTCATTTTGTTTGCTAGTTGTTCTTAGTATCAAAAGTGGAATAATCGGTACAAACAAAATTTAAATGTAATAATTTGTAAGCTAATCAATCTAAGAAAATAATTTATGACTATTTTTCTAGTTATTCAGTGTATATTTATAATTATTGCAGTTTAATTCAAAAACATAAAATCTATAAAGTAAACATATAAAGTTAAAAAATGTCCTCAAACCCTAAATTATGCAAATATAATTTTACATATTTTACATTCCTTATGTTTATTAAACATATTTGTACTTTACCTATGTTTTGAGCGTTCTATAAAAATATGTATTTGCTATAAAAACTGAGTTCTAATTATCACATACATCAAGTCTATGTGATAAAAAATTATCCAAATACATAATTCATTTTTTTTTTTAACAATTTAGTATAAACCTTTTTTTATAATTAATTTAATAATATTTTTTTTCTAGAAAAAACGAAAACGCCCTAAATTATTCCATAAGAAAAATCATGTTTATCATCGTACACCTCAATATATTGCTGCTCTAAATAGAGTATTGACTCAAAATAACGACACTGAAGATAACTCTGATTAATATTAAGGTTCTAAGTTACCTACTAGTAATAATAATAGTATGTGAGTAAAAAATGAAACAAACATGTCTTTAAAATTGTGTTCAATAATTATTAATGTATATGACTGATAAAAGTTATAATACTTCAAGTATCATTAAATTTTGGTTATACATTAAAATATATATATTATGTATATAAATAATGTTTAATATTTCCATATTAAAATTATTTATTTATTGAAAATTAAAAAATGACGGTATATTTAAGCTGTAATTTGATTGTATTTTTTAAATTTTGTTTCTATTGATAAATTATTTGTATTATATTAAATTATTTTTTAATGTATATGAATTGAATAATGAAATTGTAATAACCCTAAGTAGGTTTATTTTGTAAGTATAAAATATTTCATTAAATACAAACATTTGTTTACATTTTATTTATTTATTTTTTCTATTAAGTATTAGAAATAATTCTGGTCTAAGGTATTAAGGTTAATTATAATTTTATTTAAATCATACTAAATTGTTAGATTTAGCTATTTCTCAAAATCCAATTTTATTTAAAGCTCTGCTGTGATGTATTAAATTAATTATATTAGCCATGTACTACTTGTACTCGTCACTATGAATTGTTATACATGTATAATACTATAGTATATAAGCACAAAATATATTTATAATTTATGGAATATTAAAATGAATGTCTCTGTAATGGACAACTCATTACATAAAGTTAATATTTAGTCAAATAATTTATTTTAATTTTAAATACCAAATATTGTTTTATTTGTTGACTTATGACTTTTCTATAATTTGTGAATGTATTTTCTATCATTACTTGCAATAGTTATTTTATTCTTCTTTATAAATAAATAAATATTCAATAAATATTACATTAAGTTATAATTAGACTTTATATTTTCTAGCTAAATAAATGGTTTGAAAAATAAAAAATCATCAGTACTTAATTTGATTATATCATATTATAAAGTTAGAGTCTGTTGTTCTACTTACTATAGTACTATACCCACTTTAGGTAATTTATTTTCACAGAAAATATCAAATTTGTAATTTAACAAATTTTTAAATATTAACCATAGAAAACGGAAACAAAATTAAACTTTAAAAGCAATATATCTAAATAAAATGTATTCTATGTATTTTAAATAACATTTAATAGCTTAAATTAATTTTTATGATTATGTGTAAAAGTCTATACTTAGAATAATCATTAAATACACATGAAAAAAAAATATTATTTATTTGAAAAAATAAATGATAGATATCAACAATAATAACATTTTTAGATTCATTGGGTATTTGGATATCTTAATATCTGTTATACTGATTTAAATTTTACCTATTTGTGCTTAAAGGTATAATTATACCTTATATAATATATACCCCATATATACCCTATATATGATTTTTCAGGATTTAAATTTAGAAAGAAAAATAAATAATATGTAACATATTAATATGAGGCTGATGTAATTCATATTTCATATTTATGATTAAAGAGTACTATTTTTATCATTAGTTTAGTTTGTTTATCAGATTTTATTATTATTTTCAATGGTCGGAGTTGTAACATATTAGAGTAATAATAATAGAATAGTAATAGTTATAATATTAGAAGTCTAGCATACCCGAATACTAGAATTTTATTAATTTTTTTTTTTTTTTAATTTGGTGGTTGATTTATATGCTATAAAAATTATTTAATCATAATTCTTGACACATAATATTAATTTATCTTCATTTTTACAAGTATATAAAGTAAACTATTTTCAAAAATTAAAACTAATTGTTCTATTATCTACCAATGTGTTGAATGTTGATATAATCATGTTAAATTGTTAAACAATATTTTATTATTTAAGCAGATTATGAGTATTTTTAAATATTTTAATATTTCACATATAACGTTATATGCAGTAGTCAATGTGCATTGAGTAAATCCTAATAATCTTAATAACCTAACCTGGCGCATATCGCGTTTTTAATTTACACAAAACTATTGTACATTTATTATTTAACTCAATTTGTCAAATCGAATTACTCCGGGGTTAAGAAATGCTTGTACACGCTTTAATGCAAATTAATATTTTCGCGGCAATTTTAAAACGCCAGATTATAAAATAATACAGGTATCAATTACAGATTTATAATATGTATAAATAAATATATCTGTGGTACAAATAATCTGTCACTTCACAATATTCATCTGGTGTTATGGTTGGTTATAATTATACAAGGTTGGTAATATTGATAAAAATCATATGATAAATATTATTATTCAGTGGTTTTCTTTTTAAATTTATAATGTACACATAACACAATTCACAGTTGTAACAAGTTTAACTAAATTAAAAATGTATTTTGATGTTCTGTTGAATTTATTAAATAACAATATTACACTAATTCTATGTTAAACAATAATTTGTATTTAATTTTTAGTTTGTATTTGATGTAGGTATCATAAATTACAATTATGGATCAAGATCAAATTATGTTATGCGTGGGACAGTACAATGGAAATAGGAGAAAACAATCAGAAAGGGCTAAGAAAATGTACTATTATAATATTAATATGTTGTAGAATGATAGATAATATATAATATAAGGCAGTTGGTCAAATGGAATGTAAATACATGTTCCATTTGATAGTCAATTATATATATTATATTATCATAGTCTACGATACCAAAAAGTACCAAGTTTAAAACTAAAATTGTGTAGATATTTACTTCACTGAAAGTGTATTCATTAATAAGTTTTTTATTTAATTCATTGGCAACCATCTTAAAAATATCTTCATTCCGATATCGTGATCCCTTCAAATTTTTCAAGATTTTCATTTTCTCAAAAATATTGATCATCATATTGACAGCAGTATCTGTCCAAATGACTCGTTTTTTTTTTTTTTTTTTTGTTTACTTGTAATCAAGATGAAAATGAAGTAATTATGTTATTAAATTACAAATATTTCAAATAAATTTAAAGGAATAAAGTAACAAATTTAATAACAGAAATTAAATAATTATTGAAAGTTAACACTGTAATAAAATCATGATAATTATTTTAGTCATGGTGTACAAAGTATAAAACATGGACTAAAAAACATTCGCATTAACTTTTAATTTATTGTATTTAATATCTGATCTTGATGTTTTAGGTGCATATAAACCTATTCTCTAATACATATTAACTCCTGTAATTAAACGTGGAAACAGGTACTATTTTTGCTCATATGTCATAATTCCTTAACAACTTTAAAAATCATAAAAATCCATGTACAAAATAAATAGAGATACCTAACAATAAATTCTAATATTAAAAATAATAAATCAATATCACATTAACGGGAATACTAAAGAAAAAGGGAACTGCTCTGCTGTACAGTAAATACCTAGATGTCGAATGTAATTCGTTATTAAGTAATGCAAAGTATGAATTAATTTTAATTTAATAATAAATCATTGAATATGATGAATGATTTTACACGAAGACGATCTATCAAACATTATTACTATGTAATTAGTATGATATATTTATATTTGGTGGTCCTAAAAAGGACCACTTTAAGAAGAAAAAGAAAATAATTGTTTTGTACTACTTCTTTTTGGGAGCTACAACTTTCTTGATTGAAGTTTTTTTCATTTTGGATTTGACAGCGACCGGTGTTTTTGCCTTGGCCAGAGATTTCTTTGGTTCGACTACTTTGGGTTCGGATGTCGCAGTCTTTTTCGCTTTTTGGCTGTCGGTTCACCGGACTCAGGTTTCACTTTTTACCAGTTGTGGGCTTCTCCTTTGAAGTTTTAGCGGCTTTAATTTTCTTGACGGCTGGTTTCTTCTTCTTAACTACAACAGCTTTTTTTGGTTTGACCTGGGTAACGGGCAACTAGAAATGTCCAGAAGCGCCAGTGCCATTGGTTTGAACTATATAGCTCCGTCAGCTACAGCGGCTTTTAAAAATTTCCCGATAAAAGACACCAATTTAGCGGCGTCGACCTTGTAGTTGGCAGCCAAATTTTCCTTGATGACCGGTAAATATGAACCCTTTTTCTCCTTGAGCTCTTTGATTGTAGAAGTCACCATAACAGAAATAGTTAGGTGAGACGCAGTGGGCTTCTTGGCCTTGGTGGTTGATTTCTTCTTCTTTGGAGACTTTTTTTGGGCTGACGATGCGACAACAGCAGTAGGAGTAGTAGTGACGATGGTATCAGTCACGTCGATGAAACATTCAAGTAAAACACAAGAGAGAAATTCAAAAATGTTGAGTTTATAATATTGTAAAATAAACTACTTAGATTAAATCAGTGTCAGATTTAACTACTGTGCCGCTGCACAAAAATAAAATTTTTGCCTTTTTAGGTAAGTACATAAAAACTAATTTTATTTTATATTTTGATAAGAGCTTTTGTTCTTTTTGAAACCATCAAATTATAATATAGTATTGAAATTATAAAAACTAGGTATATTGATAAAATTTACATGTTATTAACATTTTTCTCAAATATTACAAACTATGAACATGAAATATAAATATGGTATCAATATATGACCCATATATTATTATATATGTACCTATGATAATATTAAAATGTGTGCTAATAAAAAAGAAAAGTTATAGGTACAATGGAATAATACGGTTTTTTATGAACGTCAATAATGTAGATAAATGATTTTTTTTAATTTACACACTTAATGGCTTTCAATGTTATTTCTGAGTTACAAAATTTTAAACTATATCATTTAAATCAATTTTTTTAACTAATTCTGTCTCTATTGTTAATAAAATCAATGATTTTAATCTATCTCATCCACGCTAGATCTTAAATAGTTCTTGATGCGTTTTAATGTAGAAAAGATAAATAACTAAAAATAATATTATTTCATTGGGTAGGTAATAGGTACTAAGAAAATAATTAAAGTGGCTTCACGTGGTGTCAGTTTCGAATAATTTATTGATTATCTTAACCTTAATTACGAAAATCTAAAATAAATATAACAAAAATACCGTAATTCTAGGCGGTGGCGGCGACTGAAATATCACTTAACCTCAGAAGAGAAAAACTACTCCAACTTTATTGTGCCAAAACCAAAAGAAACAT